AACCATGCAACCCCTGTGCTCCTGTTGTGGCATTAAGTGTAAAGCAATATTACCAGTAGACCCACAAAATAATCGTGTAAGGATGCAATCTTATGCACCTTTGGAGTGGAAAAAGTCCTACACCTCCCCGTATTCTCCAGCCAGCCATGTGTTTAAGAATCGCTCCTTAAATAGTTCCATTAGTGCAAAAACTTTTAGGAATATGTTCTTTCATATCTGCCTTCCATTTAAAAATATATTAATTAAATGGAATCATTTTGAACTGGCATGCAACTAATACACATTTTAAACAGCAGATAAATGAGAACATCTTTGATGATACAGCCTATGCAAATAAGTGTGCAGTCTATTGGCTTTCATAGTAATATCAAGGAATTTTAAGGCTGCACACTTAAACACACTTAAATGTAAGTACCACTGTATCAGTGGAACATCATCTAGGTAGAGACATAGGATTGCACCGCATGTTGACAAAAACACCAACAAAACAACTAATAAAAATATAAGAATGTATAGCCTTGTTCATTCAGCGTTAATTCCACTGTATAACTTACAACTATATGGCATTAAAGAGCTGTATAGAACTTATATAACTAAATTGCGATATTACAAATTAAAGATATTTGAATGAATCTTCTGTAATTCAATGAAATGTTATTTTTAAAACTTCATGTAAAACCTATTGGTATTTTGTCTCAAATATTTCAACAATAATAAATGTATAAAGTTCCATGCTGCAGAACTCTGTGTCAAGTGTAACTGGGCCCTCTGCATGTTTATTCAGAAACAAATTTCAAGGTGTTAAATGGTGCTTTCTTGACCACAAAGCAACCCAATACTAAGCGGGTTTGCATGGACTTGTCCCAGTTAGCTCAATGGGATTTACAGATAAGTTCCGTCAAGTTACAGAAAAAGTTCTGCAAAGTTTGTTCACCTTTTCCAGAATTTTACTGGCCTGGATAATGAGAACAAACTCAGGGTATTTGGTTTATTAAAATAAATGTAACTTGCATCCTTACAAAGCATGCTTATGATGGCTAAGTTAGACTTCAGCGATTAATCTATTTATCTATTATGAATACAGGAACAAGTTCTTCTAGTTTATATTATTCTCCTTCGTTTAGAAAAGTTGCTACACAACTCTGAGACACAAGATTGATATTTGTTTAGCATGTGGTGCAACAGACATAGACAAAAACCGAGTATATATTAACAGTTCGCTCAACTCACACAATACTGTCAAACAATACTCCAAAATACCATTTAGCTGTTTCGGACAGCACGGTTATCAGGCCGGGTCCTGTAGATACATTCTAACGATCAAATTTCTACTCCACTTTATTCGTTAGTGCCCAACCAAAATATTTTAATTTTACAATGCTTCACTTTCACTATATTACTCTTCCACAGCTAGCAACATAAGCAAAAGGAATTAGTGCAACTCTTAATTACTGTTTTGGATGTTATAGTCAGCAAGACACACAGCCAACGCGTACACTGAAACAAGTCGGGTTTTCTGAATGTTAAGTTGCGGAGGTTCTCAGTTCCACTCTGAAACCAGACAGGCATCGTCTTAAACAGGCGCCAAAATCAGGCAGCCGAAAGCACAGCTCAGGAAAGGGTCCTCGGCGTACTAATTAAAAACTGGTTTTGCCGGAGAGAGCATTCTCCTGATTGGCCAAAAGTGGAGCAGATCAGAAAATAATGGGTTGGGCTAAAGGCAGCACTCGTCACCCTGATTAGGCAGGTTAAATAGGATTGACTATCGTTAGTAATTAATAAGGAGGTAGGACTTTCTGCTATGTTTATACTCTGCGATTGGCTGGATTTGAATTGTCTCTAAATTCTGTTTATACTTGGGTGGGGCTGTAGAAGGGCTTGCTTTGGTGCTATATAAAAGGCCAGAGCTACGAATCCAGCAAGCCGCAGAGTAGGGTGCTTAATAAATATGAGAGGACTCGTTAAAAGGTAGGAGTTTAATCAGCCTAGTTCTCTGTGTTACGTGCAGCATTTTTGGAACTCATCCTGTTATGATTGAAGCATGGATGGTTTTAAGAAAAAAAAAAACAAAGGGATATCGTAAAATCATAGTTTAGCTTTCTTGGGTAACATTTCGCTGAGTTTCATAAAGTAAAGTGACAAACTTTCTTGGGCTGCTACTCCCAAGGAATTTATGGCCAATTTGTTCTTCAGACTACGGATTTTTTGTTCTTAAATACAAGCATAGTTCGGAGCATGTGGTTGCATTTGGATCATGTTTTTGTTGTGTATTTGTCTATCTTGTTCACAGAACTTAAAACCCACTTCAGGAAACTGCACGGCTTTACAGCAGAAGGAATTTGGTTTACAAATATTCACCAATCCTTAAGCATTTTCTAAAGTATTTGCACTCTTGCTCCTCCTAGATTCTCTTGCATAAGTGGAACATACTGCTTGGGCATCAGATATTTAGCACTGCCCGGAGAAATCTTCGAATGAGCAGAAATGTTGATTTCTTAATTAGGTCGGGCCAAAGCCCATGCGTTAGAAACGAAAGTGGTAAATGAATTGCAGGCTCAGTCTCTTTCCTAGAACAACCAAAAAGAAGAGCCCCTGGTTTACTGTTGGAGTGTGAACCATGCTTTGTCGGTGCTGCTAGGCTGAGAAACAACAGTAACCTATCGTTCAAGAACAACCCTAGGATATTGCAATAAGAATCAGAAGCCTGGCAGTTTTACAGCAGAAGTTGGCTACTTACTTTATCCTCTTCTTCACCCCCGCTTTTTTAGTATGATGCAGGTGACTCCAGATTGTTTTCACAGCATGAAAGTGTTGCAGTACTGGTAATGCAGCCTTCCATGTTCCTTCTTAAAAATAAAATATGCATATATAAATAAAAGATGTGGATTTTTCTCTTTCTAAATCTTTGCAAAATTTTACAACTCTTACACTGTAAATCAGGATATAGTCTCCACTTTACAAGTCAAGAAGCTTGGGCAAAAAGATACTAAGGGAATGATCCTGTGACCCCCCTAAACCTTGTCTGGTGGCCATAGGATGATATGGATCCCAAGGTCCGAGACAGTGGGGTGAGGAGGGAACTACAGCTTCCAAAATAAAGTATTGTGATGCTGCCTCATTCTTTCCAACTGCCCCAATTTGATGGCTGAAAACAGCTGTTTAGCAAAAATGTGGAGCGGGAGAAATAGGTACAGCTTGCCTCTGCCATTCTTCCTGCTCTGCATAGGATGCCATTAATAGTTTAAGGTCAGGGGTTTCCAGCATCTTGAATGAACTGTGACTCCAGTTAGTTATGCTCAAATGGTGCTAATCTATTCTGAGAAGCAGAGGTACTTTGTGACTTCATGCAAAGGGACTCTTGGTTATCCATGCCATGTAGTGGTTACTACATGCTAGTGCAGCAGCCACTGACAGCAGGAATTCCACCAGGGAGTGCAAAATAGTGTTCTAGCGTTTGAATTGCTTTCATATGTTAATGTAACATAAAAATTCCTCTGCTGATTTTTTTAAAGAAATGTCAAAATCTGGTCTGGCAAAAACTGAATTAGGCCTAGCCAAATGCACACAAAACCAGGCAAACTTTCAAGGTCTCAGCTTATCAGGAAAGAAATTGCAAAAAGAAAGTGTATTGGACAAGTTCTACTGGAAGAATGCTGAGGTTATTATAGTTTAACAAATAGTGTCATTGATTTTCCCAGTGTCCAAAAGCCAAGATACTTCCTTGAAGCTGTGCCACTTATTCTGTAGGTAAAAGCTACCACCGCAGTGAGAATGAAACTTTGCCTTCTAGAGGGGGCTTTGCCCCAGGAGAGGATTAGGAGCCTGGGGCATACTGACAGAGACTACAGTAGTGGGAGACGGGAATGTTATACAATTATTTCTTGCATTAATTTCTTTCCTTCTTGGCATGGGGAGAAGAACTGATGATATCAGCAAACTTGGCCACCTTACTGCTCATTCTGAATCCCAATTTATAAGCAATTTGAAAAGCAAGGGTGTTGGTACAGATCTTTGTGGGAATCCACAGTTTACACCCCTCCCTTGTGAGAATGTATTCTTACTCTTTTTTCTGTATTATCAGAAAGGTAGTTACCATCTCAAAGAGAAGCTCTTCTATTTCATGACTCTTAAGTTTGCTCAGGAGCTTTGCTGAGGGACTTCGTCAAAAGCTTTGAGGAAGTCCAAGTAAACACTGTCTGCTAATTTGCTGCTGTCAGCATGTTTGCTGACACTTAAGGTTAGCGGCAGGACATAACTTTGCAGAAGCCTTATTCATTCTTATGTAGTACTTACATATATATGTGTTATATGCTTCAAAAATGTATCTTTCATAACTGATGTTAAACTAATTAGCATGTAATTTCCTGGATTCCCCTGGAATCCTATTCACAGGTGTCACACAGTCCTCCACAGTTCTGGTAAAGAAATGTAAAGGCATGCTGCGTATTTTTGATAGATCTTTCCTGCTTCCAGGTAGTACTTGAAAGGAGCCCTGAAAAAAGTGAACAATGAAAATGCAAAAGCAAGACTGTAGCTGAATATTAGGAAAACAAAAATTATGATCACAAATGAATGTAAATTGCAAAATATTTTGTATATCTTAGCACAGTCAACCATTCAAAGGGAGACTGCAGGGAAGAAAGTTGAAGAGGACTGAGATCTGGAAGGGCAGCAATGAAGGAACTGGAAAAGATCATCAAATGCAAGGATGTTTTGCTGAAGATCAAGGTCAAGATAGTCCAAACTTTTGTATTCCCAAACACTGTATGGGTGTGGAAGCTGGACACTGAAGAAAGCTAACAGGAAGAAAACGGCTGTCTTCGAAACATGGCGCTGGACCTTGGATTAAGTCAAGCCAGAACATTCCCTGGAAGCAAAAAAGGCAAAACTGAGGCTGTGCTCTATCATGAGAAGACAAAACTCTCTGAAGAAGCAAGTCAAAAGCAGAAAAAGAAAAGGAAGACTAAATATGAGAGGTTAAATCTGTAAAGGAAGCCACAGCTTTGAACTTGGAAGAGTTGAGCTGAGGCAGACACAACATTTTGGAGGGTTCTTTCATGGGGTCCTTGTAAGCTGGGGCTGACTTGACTGTACACAACATATCTGGAACCAGTGGTTTGTTAATTTTCAATTTATTAAGAGTGTTTAACTTGTCATCTCCTCCCTATGCTTGCATACCATAAATATAATACAAGTGAACACTGTTACATAAATATACGCTTCTATACTTCTTGCATGCATTTTTCCTCTTCCCTCCCCATTCCCATTTCTTTGTGTGGTGTGGCTCTTTCGATTGTAAATTTGCTGGCAGGCGCTTCCTTTAAAGATCACATACAAGCTGCTCTGAGATCCTTTCCCGCTGGGGAACAGGAAGAGAACGCTTTCAAGTAGTGAAGCGCATTTAACCTCTCCTCACAGCCTTATCCCGGTTTTCTCTCTACGCGGCCCGCGCCTCCCCTTCCCACCTCGCAACTTTCGCGCGTTCCGACTCCCTCACAAAATGGCGGCGCCTGGCGAAAGGCGCCCTTTTTTTCCCGCCAAAAGCGGCAGGCGCGACGCCCTCTTGGCCCCGCCCACGGGGGGGGTCTGGCCGGCGGGCGACACGCTGCGCCTCCGCCCCCCCCCTCGCCCTGCCTCGTCTCGAGCCGTTCGGGGTCGGCACGTGGGCGGTCCTGTCGGTAGGGGGCGTGGCCGGCGAGGCGGGCGCGTGCCGGGGAGAAGCGAGCGAGCGAAAAAGGAAGGGCGCGAGCGAGGGAGGGGGAAGGAGCGGGCGCGAGACGACGGGTAAAGCCGCCGCCCGCCCCTCCCCCTCGCGCCCCCCTCAGGGAGGGGCGGCCTTTCCTCCCCCGCCGGGAGCCGAGCAGCCTCCGGCTCGCAGCAGGTGCAGGTGCAACTGCCCCGGGCTCGCGCGGCCCTCGAGCAGGCAGGCAGGCAGGCAGGCAGGCAGGCGGGCGCTAAAAAGCAACGCCCCGCCCCGCCCTAGGAACCAGTCCCCTCCCCACTCGGGGGGCAGTGCAGCAGCGCCCCCTTCCCGGGAGGGGAGGAGCCGCCCCCGCCCCTGCCCCTGCCCCTGCCCTCGCCCTCTCAGTCCAGGGTTACTCCTCCGCAGCACCACGGAAAAGGTTTTGCCCTCGGTCTGTGGTAAGCAGCCCGCCTTCGCTCCCGCTCCCCTGGAAGGGTAGCAGCAGCCGGGGCTCCAGCTCAGGTTGCTGCGGAGCCCTCCCCTCCCCATGGAGTTCCTCCTCCAAATTGTGGAGCAGCAGCCACGGTGCCCACGCGGGGCTTGTGCAGATTTCCTTCCCCGTTTCCCGTTCTGCCGCCCCGAGGCTCGTTCCAGAGTGGGGTGCAGCAGCCAGGCCTCCCAACTTGTGCAAGAGCCTCCTTTCCTCTCTGCGCCTCAACAGTTCTTGTACCTGTTGGGAGCAGCCGCCAGGCCTCTGTTCAGGGCTTTGTAAATGTTTCCCTCTCGCGTTCTGTCCCACAGGAGCAATTGCTCAACTGCTGGAAGAAGGAGACCTTTAATAAAGGTGGATGACGATTGCAAATCCTTTCCAGAGTAGGGCTGCTGCACTCGGAGACTTTGCAGGAGAAGGGGGTTTCCAATCTGCAAAGGGCCCTTCACCTCTCTGTCCCCTTGCTTTGCCAGATCCTAATCCCCCTAGAGACTTCTTTTGGACTATTGGTCATGGAATATAAGTTTAATAATAAATAAATCCTTGGGTGGGTGAGAAACTCCTTTGCAGGATGTCCTCAGGCGTGATCTGTAGACAGGATGGGGCTAGGCACAGTTGGGAACATAATTTGGAGCACAGTGCCCAGTTTTTAAATGCCAGACCTGCCCAGATCTAAATAAATATTTTTGTCTATTTAAAGGGTTTTTAGAGGTTCTTGTTATATGATGGATTTTTCCTGTGAAAATGTGCAAGAATGTGATTATTCTCGTTTGTGCTCTGCATATCTTCCCTTACTGTTCTGTGGTCATAATAAATATCCATGTTAACTAATGAGCAACCTTAAAAAACTATCATAGTTTACTTTTGCATTGCCTCAGGATTTCAAAAGTAAAACATGTATCATAAAGTTATATTGAAAGGCATTACAGTCCAGCAGAAGACCTAGAACTGATGGGTGTTACTGGCTGATCAAAGGATTTTACTTGATTGCTCACCTGCCCGATAGTGGATCCAGTGATGTATTTATTTAGCCACCCCAAGGCTTCAGCGAATGGGGCGGCATAGAAGCTCACTAAATAAATAAATAATTGTACATATTACTGAAACATAAGTGTAGGTACCTTTTTGCAATTGAAATGGAAAATGTAGTTCAGGAAAACCTATTTATTTTAGAAGCAAAATCAATCTTTTAACATTTGCTCTTATTCTATATGTTTACTTAAAAAGTTAATATTCTTTCCCTGCCCTGACTCAAGTCCCACCACCAAAACCAGCCCAAACAAAAATACTGGGGCCTATGCTTTGGCAAATTTTGATGGGAGGGAAATCTGTAATTTAGCCAAGAGAATCTAAAAGTCGTTGATATTTGTACCTGTCATGTAGATAGATTATGAAGTTGATTGACATGCTGAAAGTGCATTGGAAATCTATTATTAATTAATATCTTAGCACTTGCAAACATGACCTAAAATTCTTTGTATTCTGAAATTAGGGTTCCGTATAGTGTATAAAGTGTAAACAAACTGGCTATCAGTGAAAAGCTTTCCACTTTTTGTCTTGAAGAATGAACATACCTTATTGCAATATTTTGCTTTAATAAACCTGCTTATCCTAGAGGCATCAAAGTCTTACACTTCTTGGTTTCATGCTTTTGAACTTTGTATGCTTTAATATGTAAGGATTGGATGTGGCATTCTGTTAATGGGTGGGATATGAAGGATTATAGTAGATCATCTTGAAAATCCATAATTTATTCTCCCTCCAAAAAAATCCCCTTTTTATGTACTTTCTCCATCCCAAGTTTGTTTTGTGGGAAATAGTCTATTTTCAGTAGTATTTCAATAATAAAGTAGCACTGTACAAGATTAATTATGGAATATGTTTCATACTTTTGCAAAAATACTGAACATCAAAAACAGTTGTCTCCCTATGCCTAGCTAAAAGTAATGCTCTTCATTGGTAAGAACATGGGGAGAAAAATGTAAGGATATTCTATATGCATAAGTTCTCCCTGGTTAAAAGGTTGCATTGATTCTGTTGATTAAAAGTATGCACATTAAGTGCTGGCTGTACTTTTGAGTGGATGTGAATTGACGTTCTTTCTATGCTTTTATCTTTAAGGTTCAGCTTTCGTAGAGTTTCTCCATAGTGTGTGGTATGGCCTGAGAGTATTGGACTGTCAGATTTTGAATGGCAGCCACCTTTTTCCATTATCGTTGTGAAGAAAAATGTGTTGATGAACTGTGCTATGAGCAGATTGTTGTAAGCCTTGGTAAAATAGAAAGGAATTAATCTCGCTTCCCAAACATCATGAATCGCCATGCATAGTTTTGCATAAGTGAGTTATTTCCCCTTTCATTTGCAGAAATGAGCATATTTATATTTCTGTTGAACCTGGAGTGAACAATTACACACACAGTTTTAAGATAGCATTTACATCTTTTGTTGTTATAGTGGGCCATTTGTAAATAAAGCAACAACAAGGAAAAGGGCTGCATACACAACATAAGAACAAACAAAAGGAAAGCCATTTGGTGAAAGAAAACAATTTATGAAAAAACAGTAGCCCAGTTTCAGACTTCTGACCCAGTCTGAATGAAATTATTAACTATGGGAGAAAAAATGTTTATAGCCGAAACAATCCAGAGTGCCAGGTTCACACATCATGTCAGCAATCTAGGAACACTTGTTTGATGATCTGGAAAGAACGGGGGAGAGGCAGGCGTGGGGGGACCAGTGTGCTAGTTCCAGTGTGGCCAGCGATAGTTAAGGGCACTTTGGATCATAGCAGTTACATGAAAACTGGGTTCCTGTGGTCTTTAACAGAAAATAATAGATTCGTTGCATTGTCTACTCTTAATGTTCTTTGTAGTTGGAAAGATGGTGATGGTTTTATATCTTCTGTAATAACACAATGGTCCTCAGGTTTGTGTAAGTTACCAAGATTCTCAATAATTCCAATGAGCATGTTTTGGAAAAAAAAAAATCTTCCGACATTTTGTTGTTTCTAATGTGGCAAAAAAGTGCATTCTGTTTGTTAATTTTGTTGTGAATAGTTGTTTATCATTTTCAATTTTCCGTGAGGAAGACTACTGATTTGTAAAACCCATTGGAAATATGAGAAATTTTAAAAGGATTTTTTCAATCATTTTCTTCATCAATTGGGTTTGCCCCTTTGACTTTCATAAATAAGATGTCTCAAAAAATATGAGAAAGTACAATTCCAAACCTCACCCTTCCACACAATTGGATGTCTTTTAAATAATTTCACACTGTTCCCAAATTCTTGTAATTGGAAAAAAATGGCATTTGGAGTGAATTTGGCATATTTTCATTTTATGTGTAAACATTTGAGCAAGATACATAATTCTGTTGATTGGAGTGTTTTGTTCAACAATTAATCAGAGCTTTAGCTGATAGTTCCGCTAAATAAAGCATGTAATCCTGTTTTAAATATATTCTGATAAAGAAATCTGAACGATTGATTTTGTAAGTCAAAACTTGACATGTTTGTATTGGGTCTTATCTGGTAGTGGCCAGTTTACATTAGACTAGTGGATGAAGCTTGGTATTATTCTGACTTGTGTGTGTCTGGATTCTGTTAAATATCTTGATTATGACTGAGAATTACAGCCCCTTTGCTGTCTCCTGTTTCCTTGATCTTTTGACTAGGAAGCTCAATCCGAAATACACAGAAGGGGCTGAATATGGATCCATACCACCTTAGTGATGAAAGCTCCCTCCATTCTGAGATGCAGCTTCATGAATTTTCAGGGAATCAGGGTTTGGACTGTAGTGACACCTTTACCCATGATCTGTGTCCAGATATGAGAGATATGATTTATTCAGGATTAAGCAACCTGGAGGTGGATCCCAGCCTTTCAACCGCAAATATAAATAATGATTCTTTGGAGGACAACCTGGATGCCTTGTCCTTGTATTCAGTGAAGGATTGTGATTCTGCTAAGCTCCTGGATGACTGTGTCACAGACTCTCGGCCAGTCCTGCATGGTGAGTAGTCTTGGTTGCAGCTGTAAATAGGTAATTTCACAGAGTCCTGAAATTAGTCTAAGTTTCAGAAACCTTTTTTGTGTGGCCAAGTCACTTCCCTCTGAAATGGGAATGTTATTGCCAACTTGTACCACTGCCATGTGAGTGCTCTTTTTCTACAACAAGGACCGTAAAAAAAAAAAGAATGAGGAAGATGTATGTCTGAAAAGTTACAGAGGTCATGTACCAGGAAACTGTAATCTGTGGTTTTTATTGAGGAAGATTAGGAGTAATAAAGTATTTTGTTGGGACCAGTATACCTGAAGGAACGTCTCCTTCCCTACATCCTCTCATGCCCCTTAAGACTGGCAGGAGAGGCCTTGCTCCGGGAGCCTTCTCTGAAGGGGGGACGGAGGGTGTCTACCTGGGGGAGGGCCTTCTCTGCGGTGGCGCCCAGCCTCTGGAATCTGCTCCCCAGAGAGGTTTGCCTGGTGCCGACTTTATACTGTTTTCGGCACCAGGTAAAGACCTTTTTATTCAGCCATCATTTTAATAAATAAGGATTTTAGATGTTTTAAGATCTGATCACAATTGCATTTTCTTTTTCTTTTTTCTTCCTTTAGTTTTATGAAAGTGTTTGTTTTAGGTTTGCCTATTATCTATTGTTTTAATTATTGTATTATTATACTACTATTTTAATCCTTGTAAGCCATCCTGAGCCGTTCTATTAGGATGGGATAAAAATGTTTTAAATAAAATAAAAAATAAATTTTGTGAATTTAAGTAAAGGCCACAGGGTAAACGGCATTTTCATTTTCCTTCCCCTTTTTTCCTTTGGCAGTTGAGTTCAGTGGTCAGAATCTTTTTCTCATTTAGTTTCTCCTGGCCTATATTTCCCTTGTCATTTGGAAAGTAGGAATTTTGCCCTCCATCCTGAAGCAAATGGTTAGGTAGATTTGTTGACCCATCTCTGGTTTTGCAAGGCTAATAGTGAATGAGCAATAGATCTAGAGAATTTCCATTTACTTGGCCACCTAAAAGACTTCCTTTATGCAATTTGATAGAAAAGGTTTTATCATGGTAGTTCCATGACTGGAGACCTTTATATTTTTCCAGGCATTATAAAAATTATTTTTGTTTCCGTTAGTTCTTTGCATGGATTATTTTGCTGCTGTTTTTACTTCTGTTTAATGTGCTGCACTGCTTACCTGTTGTTGCTGGTTTTGGCTTGACACTATGGTGTGGTTGTTTAGTGTTTTGGAAGTTACATTTTTAAATGTATCTCCACGTAGCTCAAAGAGCTCTGCTTACTGAAAGCAAATCTGTAAACAAATAACAGATTTCTTCATAGGGCCGCCACAAATTTTTGTTTGCCTATGTTTTGTTGCAAAATATGGAAATTCCAACAAAATAAACCTTGGGTGAATACTTATATTCTGAAATGTTGAGGTTCCATCAAAATTGACTTGTCACCACTTCTGCTGTCACTTTTGTAGCACCGATTGTGCTGCTTTCTTGGTAGAAATTTATGTCAGTTGTGTCCGCTGAAGCATGTTACGGTCATCAGACATCCAGATTTGGTGGTGTATCGCTGTTTCAACACAGTGGTGCGACATCTTTATATATTGGCAGTGGAATTGGTGGTTGGGAGATGAGCTGTCCTTGTGGGCATGTGATTTGAAAAGGTGAGAACCTGTCTTAGACACGACCATGAAATGGCTGCCTTGGAAGGTTTTTCTAGTCACAAAGCACATTCGCCGGGTAGCCCAGGGACTTGCATAGGAAACAGCAGCTGTTGAAGCCCCTCATTTTGCTTTGAAGTGAGCCAAGCTGCTGGTAAGAGGATGTACTCATTAAAAGACAACGTGAGGAGGAGAGGGCACTTGGATGCAAGGAAAGGCAAAGCCTAGGAACATGGTTTTGCCCACCTGTTCTAAGGATTTTAGAATGAGAAGGTTTGCTTTTTTCATGGAGTCAGCAGGCAGGAAAACAAGCTTTGTTGACTGAGAAAAACATGAAGCTCACTTACTCTTTACCCAATCAGTAGAAGTAATGTGCACACACACACACTGCTCCTGAGTGTGTGCCACATTACCAAACCTGGCCCAGACCCTGTGCTTTGATGCCATGGACTTTCTTCAGTGGCTGACAGAGCTGCACGTGTGCAATCCAATGGAAGTTCAGAAGGGCATGTTCTTTTGGTAGCTGCAAAGACCCATTATTTAAGACTTCAGAACATCCCAGCTGAGAGTATGCCCACTTTGAAGATACAGTGTTTTTGCAGTGCCAAAGATCCTCAGATTCATTGGCTGTGTTCACACAAAATGCTAAGTCAGGAATTTTCAGAATCTAATTGCAAGCAAGGATTCTCACGTATGGTGCCCAAGTTGCTTCCACCTGGCTCATTCTGCAGACTAGCTGGTAACTTACCAGGGTGGAAAAGCTTAGGGTTTTGTTTGAACCAGAACTCTGACTTGGTGTTTTCTGTGAATCCAGCCATTATCTTACTTTACAACAGGGGTGGAGAAGCTCTTTTAACCCAAAGGCTGCAAATGAGTTTTGGAGAGGCGCTCAGTGGTGTATTTAAGTGGCTGGCAGGGTCAAAGACAGTGTCTTTTAAGTTTCAAATTCTTATTTCTGGTAATTAAACCTTAGGAAAGACATTTCAGATATTTACACAGGAAGGAAACTGGAAAAAGTAGAGGTCCGGGTAATGACTGGTGGTCAGAGAAAAGGAGCTATGTTTTGGGAAAGGGGTCATGGCAGTGTGGGGAACACTAGAGTGCTATATTGGGATCCCAGGAGAGAAGGATTTGGCTTGTTGGTCTGAAGTGGTTGGGCTAGGGAAGAACAAGAATGGCATTCTTATGCTGCCTAGAAAGTTCCTGGCTAAAGTTGGACTTGAAACAGAGACTTTTGGACTGCACAGTACCATATATTGTACAAGTGAACTAAAAGTTGTCTTTTTTCATTTAGAGTTAGGACTTCCTGGCCCTTCAGCACCTAAAGAAGTGGAGCAAGGAGGCAGAACCAGTTCTGGCAGTGGAAAGAAAGGAAAGCACCAACAAAGCTCTCCTCAAGCTCCTTTCTTGGATTGCAGCCTTTGTGGGAAGGTTTTCAGTAGTACCAGCTCACTCAGCAAACATTATGTGACTCACAGCCAGGAACGGAAACACGTCTGCAAAATCTGCAGCAAAGCATTTAAGCGGCAGGACCACCTGTATGTATCTGGCTGCCAATAACTCTGATCTGAATGTATTAAGACAGTGTCTGGTACTGTAGAGAACTAGGCTGTTCCAGTTCATTACAGTTCCAGTAGTGCCTTGTATAGGGCACACACAGTTAGTATTCCTTAGTAATGTATTCCTTAGAAATGCATGATGTGTATCCTCGTTAAGTAAATGACAAAACTGCCAATGGATTGGATGTCTGTCTGTGGTGTAAGCACATTGCTTTACTGTGCTATAAGCTTTTAGGTTTCATCGAACACTAGCATCTGAAGGCTTCCAGCAGTGAATAGGCATCTGCTATTGGGATGCTTTCTAAAGGTGATCTTTGTGTGATCTTTGAAAGTATTTGGCCCGTCAGGTAATTTGGGGACAGTTGGGTCTGAGCTTGATGAGGAATGGATATAGTGATTGTGCAAAAAAGTAACTTGAGCAAGGAGTGGAACTGATAGGAGGTTTTTGAATCTTTGTCTTTATGGCATGGGACAAAATAATGTCTTTCAACTTCTGCTAGCTTTCCACTAACCACATGGAAATTAAAGACTTCTGATCAAAGTTCTGGTCATAGTTGTCAGTGAAAATGGTAAACCTGTCCTGGGCTGCATTATTTCAGATTAGAAGTGGAGGCTCATATGATGGAATAGCACTCCAGACAAACAAAAAAGGAAGGAAGTGAAGATAGAATCCTTTCCCTTAACAGTTAGAGTTTTTTTGTGTGGAGGATTATGTGAGCTCTCACCTTCAGTCAGGAGCGATACAGTGTCTGTGTTGACCCAGGCATCAGAGACTTGAGTAAAGATGATAATTTCCCTGGCAAAAAACGTTATAGAATTTGCTGAAGAGGGGAGCTGAATGGATGAGCAGAGTCATTCCAGTATCTAGGAACCTTTTACTTCTCAAAAAATGCTGCAACTTGTAGCCCTAATATTTCATCACAAGGAGTAGCTGTGTACAGAGCTTGCTTGCAGCCCTCACTCCTGACATGCATCCCAACTACAGGTTTATCACTCTTGAGAACTAACCCAATTCCCTATTCCAAGTCTATATAGGAGTTTCCAGCTGCCTTACCCTGGCAGCTTCTGGTGACCCTATGTACCTTATGGCCTTGGACCATCTTCTCTTAGCCTCATCTCCTTAGTTCAACCAGTGCTAGCCAGAGAGGTCCTCTGAAAGGAAGGCAGCGGAAGTAATCAGGGCCACAGGTCCTTTATAGTACTGCAGTATAAATTCTGAAAGTGAGCACTGTATTAGCCAAGGTCAGAAGTGATGCTTACAATGAGTCTGTTTATGTTTTTAAATAAAAATATATGCTTTTAAATCTCAGGAGTGGTCACATGCTAACGCACCAAAAAACAAAGCCGTTCATTTGCATAGAACAAGGCTGCAACAAGAGTTACTCAGATCATCGCTCCCTGCGCCGGCATTACGAAATGCACCATGGTCTGAGGTTGTTAAAGGATGATGAGACTTGTGAGGGTTCCCCAACAGTGCATGATGCGCGTGTCCAGATAGGCCACAGCGGCATGAGAACTGCAGAGAGACTGACTGCTCACCCTGAGCCACAAGCCCCTAACAACTCTGTCATGTCCAACAGAGACTTGCTGAGGTGCTTTGTAAGCAGCTTAGTCAGCCAGAAGCTTCCGCCCGTTCCTTCATCCTCTACAGGACAGGGTGAATGTAACTCCAAGGGATCCTTGCAGCCTGGCCCCTCTGCCTGTGGTCAGATTTCTTGCGTTCCCACAAGTACTGCTGCACTGACAGAAGCCAGTGGCAGTAAAATGATGAAACTTTACCCTTGTCAAAAGAACACAACATCATCCAGTATGTATACCATCATAAATCCTGGAAATGTATCTGTACTTGGATCAGCAGAAAACATTACACATTTGCCAGATAAGCAGCCACATTCAGAACCTCAGTTCCCTTTAGAAGCCACAGCACTGGAGTATTGGCCGAACAGTGGTGTACCTCGTTTCCCGTTATTCAGAGGCCAGAATATCCCTGTCGCCTCTCACCCGTCAAGCAGCAGTTTCCAGTGGGTCCGAAATGTGCCACCAGCCTGCACAAAAAACAAAGGGAGTGGTGTTTATGTTGCGTCCATGTCCCCTGTTCCAAGTCAAGATGTTTCTCAGGGACTGGTGGGACCTTCCCATACTTTTGAATCTTTGGCTCATAACTTTGAGTGTCCAGATGTTTTATCGTTCTCTCCAGCACTCTTAAAAACACAGGGAGAAATAACTGGAGAGCCAAAATTCAGTGCCTTTGAAGAGAGCTTCAGGCCAGCAGCAAGGCTTCCAGATCTGCCAAAACATGATGTGCTGCAGAGGAGCGAGGCTGGACCGCCGTTCAGACAGCTCTTCGTGAAATCCCAGGAATCTTCTGTGAATAAGGATCAGTTAGAACTCCAGAGTCACCTGTTTCAGCGGATCACCAAATCTCAGCATATTGTCTCTCACACCCACTTACTGGCTTCGTCACAGGTGGCAAGTGTAGAGACTGAGCGTGGGGCAGCAAAACCACTTCAACACATGTTTCAGCAGCAAACAGATGTGGGTCACTCAGGTTTGAAATCCACGGAAAGTGAAAGGTCTCCCCTGTGTGTGAAAAAAGTCTTGACCCAGTTTCAGGACTTCTCATCTAGCAGTGAAAAAGATCAGCAGTCAGCTACTTCTCTGCAGTCCGTTTCTATGCCCTCTGCAAGCACAGACGGCATTTCCCATGCAAACCACACCAAGACTGTGAAAGGATGCTTGGAGTTCAAAGACTTCTCTGGTCCTAGCCAATATGTAATGTTGGAGAATGCCCCAGGGAATCACACTTACGGGAAGCCAAAGCAGTCAGGGAATGGCTCTGCTATATCAAAGAAGAAAGAGAAGAGTAAGACTTGTGTCAAAGACTCGAGCAGTAAAGGGCATTCTCGGAGTGGTAGACCTCGCCGGAAGGAGAAGCCAAAGTTTGATGTCTCTTCTATGGCTTCTCCCAGTCAAGTGGCCATGGCTTCCTTTTCCTTGCCTAGTACATCGTTGGACAGTGGGAGCAAAGTGAAACCGAAACTGACCATTTTCAACAGAATTCAGGCATGTTAAGAGCTTTTTTAACGGCCTTTAAAAAAGTCTTTATGTCAAGGTGATGGTTAATGTGTCACAAGTATTTATTAGCATCTGCTTGGAGGGAAGGCTCTTCATAGACCATTAGTGGGCCTTTACAAGTAAGCCAGAAGCCAATGACCAGCAATATTGGCTTTGCTCAAGCATTGATTCCCTCGTAAGCTAGGACTCGGGCAGAGAGCTCTTTCACTCCCTTCTCTACATCATAAACTTCAAGCAGGGGTGTTTCCCAGTATGTACCTTTTCTGCTCACCCTTGTACAGCTTGGTGTGTGCATGGGAGCAGTTAAGCTACAAAAATGGGGAAATTTTGTTAAGATTTCTAATGGTGCTCATACCAGGAAGAACTGAGTCAGCATTTTGCTATGGTCAGTTTGGGAGAAACTGGCTGCCGTGTGTTAATAAAAAGTATTATCAGAGGATGGGCTGAGGGAGAAGGGGAATGCCTGAGTGCCATGTTGGAACACTTGGCTGTCTGTTGCTTGTGCCTACCGTAGAACCTTAATTTGCATCAAAGAGGAAGAAGAAGTAGATTTAGATTGCTTCTGCACCTTAGTGTGCAATCGCCGTGCTTCACTCATTCAACTTTTTGCAGGGAATCTGTGCTCAGTCATTGCCACCTTTTATTTTCCCTGTTGTCTTAGACAGAGGCTGTTTCCCATATGGTTCTCAACACTAATAAATCTTCCTCTGTAAGCTGAATTGTATTTGATTTTACATACTATCTGGAATGTTGCCTTGTTTTTATGTTTGCCCACATGTGTTCCATCTACACCAGTGGGCGTGACATAGTGCTGTGAAAGGGAAAAAGTAAATCCTACTAGCACATGCTTTTCCTCTGTTTTTAAAAATGTTACATGATTGGTGAAAGAGTATGATAGCACTATAACACTACAATAAGCGAATCTTTAATGTAATACAGGAAAACTTTGCCCATGCCATTTACTACCTTGTAAAATTAGCAGTGACCAAAGGTATTGCCTCAAATATTTTTAAATAGTACTATAGCTTTTTAGTGTTTATAGAACTGTACCACTGTTTATTTAAATAGAATTTCACTGATACATTTTTTAAAAATCATACCATAAAACTATTCCAGTGCTAATACTGTTAAGAAAAAGCCCACAGGATAATAAAGGAGTGCTCACAACAGAAGTGGTGGGGAATGTGCGATGGCCTTCAGGTGGCCACCTAGATGAACTAGGCCTTTTCCCTTCCCCAAGCCTAGCAGGTGGGCCGCTACCGATGTAGATGGAGCACAGAATGTGCTTTCAGAAAAGGAGTGATATCCCTGATACTTCCTGATAGTGTGGAAAGTTAATTGCAATTCCATGCATGGCTTCCAGTGATGATTCATTAGCAGTCAGAGCCACCTGTCTGGCAACACTGTGAATGGCTTATTGAAAGGCTATTTGTGAAGGTCCTGGAGGGCTTCTGATGAATGCGGAACCCTTAAGAGATGAAAAGTGTAAGTTTTTTAAATAATCTGAATACATTTAACCTTTCTTTTTTAAACAGGATGGAAATATCTACAGCTTTACTAATGCAGTGAGGGAAGAATACTTGTCTCCTGGATGGTAAGCAGGGCATGATGATGTTTTGAGAGCATTTAAAATAAGCGAAACATGTACTTGTTAGGCATCTGTCTGTTCAGTAATAGTGGAAGTCAGTGTTTTATGAACTTGTATTTTGTATTTTGTGTGGTTAAAGAGTTTGTTAGGATCACGCTTGCCAACTGAAGACTGATGATTTAAATTCTGTTGTGCCATTTTTGGAACAAATACCAGGAATGTTTGTTGTGATGGAGTTTTACTAGTTTCCAAAACTTCAGGAAGAATTGGTTTATTATTATGCGATCTTACTAAGAATTGAAAATATAAAAATAAGAGTACTGCTCTAGAAAAATCCTTGATCAATCATTGATAAGTAAGTGTCTGAAGTTGTATTGGTTTCATGGCCTCTAGATTCTGAAGAAACACAAGTCCATCTGATCGAGGCATCAGGTAGAATGAATAGTGGGAGAGGGAGAGGGAGTTTAATTTCTGGCCCACCTATTTTCACAAATGTTAACTTATCAGGATTGGGCAGACACTGATGACATACATCTGTATCTTGAAAATCAGAGGGTCAGAGGCAGGGTTTGTGAAAAGCGAGGTTTCCATTCCCTGTGCTGAATTGTGTAACTACACTTTGTGCGTGCACAGAGGAAAAAATGAAGCAGGCAGAAAGAAGGACAGTACAAACACTTTCAGAGTGTGATTTTCAGGATGCCAGGATGATCTTTCTTCTGACTCCACTGACTCCACTGTGTGCAGATCTCTTCTTCTCCCACCTATTCATAACTACTGTATATATTTGCAATGCTCAGTAATGCTCTATGTATCTGATGAAGTGGGCTGTAGTCCACAAAAGTTTGTGCCCGCATAAATGTGGTAGTTTGATGCAAGACTATTTGCATCAGCAACAAGTCAGTGCAATGTCTACATCACACATAAAACACAAATAAAATTGCTAAACTGACTTTTTGTAAAACACCACCATAGACCCGATTTTAATGGTGACCATCAGTTTTGCAGGCTCTGCTATCACTTGTTTATCTCCGTCTGCAAGTAAAGATGCATACAAACCACATGAGTGCACTGAGAGGGAGAGTAATATTGGAGTAATTAACTCTTTCTGCAGGAAAGTAATTAACTCTAAGAGTAATTAACTGCAGTTAATAAAAGGAACAAAGCAACACAACATGAGCAACTGTTGCACTGTCACCTCAACACACACATGCGTGCGCGCACACATACACAACATGTATCTTCAAGGTGCCACCAGACTCTTGAGTTGAAACAGTAGTTTATGACATGGCGTAAGGGTACGGCTGTTCAGAGAGAGTACATACAAACATTCACTGGACTAAGCAGTTCTTCGGCTCTCAGCCATTAACTATCCAACAGCACACTTATTCTGTGTGTTATCCCAGTGGGGTTTTCTCCTCCAGTAAACACAGTTCCGTGGTAAATGAACAGAAGGAGTCCTTTTTCATCAGATACAGAACAAACTCTAAAGCAGGAAACATAAATGAGTGTGTAATGTGGTTTAAGTATAAATGACAAAAGCGGAAATCCAGGTTTCGTATGCTGCTACTTCCATTTCTTTTCACTTAAATTTCTTCCATTAGTAATAAGACTGGGGCAGATCCAGGAGACAGGAGCGAGCATGGAAGCAGTTTTGTTTGCACAACCTGCAGTCAGCTGTTTTATACCAAGAGGGGCCTGAACAGCCATATGTGTTTTTATAGTGAGCAATGGCAGTCCCCGTCAGGGAGAGAAAAACAGCAGGTAAAACAGAAACCAAACTCTGATAAATGAATATTTGCCTCTGTTAACACTAATCATTTGTATTACACATAAGAAGGGAACCTGTAATACAGTGTTAATCATTAACATGGAAAACTGTGGTTTGAATCCTTCTAGTAGCCGTAAAACTCATTGCGTGGGCTTGGTCCAAGTCACCATTGTTCAGTCTAACTTTGCTTAAAATAGGCCAGTGCAGATGTATTTCTGGCTTTCTCTTAACTGTGGTTAAAAGACCAATAGGCCAATTTTACCTGAGGGTGCCTCAGACAGGTAAAAATATTTATTTGCCTCCTATAACTGCCAGAATGGCCTCCCTAGGCGGCTCACACAATAAGACAGCATAAAACAGTTAAAAGAATAAAATCGTAAAACCTAAAATAGTACAGTACAATAAAACCAGTAAAGGTACATCAGCATTAACAAAGGGCTTAGATATTTAAAAAAAAGCTTTAAAAGGTATGTCTTTGCTTGGTGCTGAAAAGAAAACAAAGATGGCGCCAGGTGAATTTCCCTAGGAAGGGAGTTCTAGAGAGAGGGAGCAGCAGTAGAAAAGGCCCTTTGCCTGTGTGCCACCCCTTTTATTTTCCTGAGGGACGTCTCTTGTAGAAGGGACTTCTGAGCTCACCTTAAGAGGTGGGTAGGTATATATGCGTGTACTGTAGACGGTCCTTCATACACATATGAAGAATGATCCGTAACATTAAAAATGACAGGCACTTTGCTGGTGGAGATATTAATACTGAGCCATTAAAGAGTGGCAATATGTTTTAGTGAAGATAATGTATGTGAAGTGCTGTGAATGGTGAGGAAGCGCTACATAAGTCTTAACGGTCATTGTTAATATACAGCCACAGTCTCAAGCTTGGCTGCCCATGTGTGGCACTGTCCAGCAGAGCTTACCCTGGGAGAGTGTGCCTAGGCTGGCAGCTTTGGAGTGCCGTCCTATAAATATCTACTCAAAAGCAAGCTCCATTGAGTTCAGTGAGACTAAACCCCCAGATATTTTTTATTGGATCACATCTTCCACAGTTTAAAAGATTGCATCTTTAACAACTTGAAAGAAAGAATAAAGAAAATGTAATACACTTCATCACTGGGTACTCTGATTCCGTTGGTTTTTATTTTACTTTACTTTGTCACCATCTGCCCCAAGCCCTTTGGAAAGGACAGAACAGGAAGAAACAGAAATGAAATAAAATGAATGATTAACCGTAGTGTTATGTATAGTGTTCTTGTGGCTAGAATGTATATTTCTTTTTATATTCCCTTTAAGGAGTGTGAGGCAGAAAATTTACAGCCTCAGAAACTGTCCTTCAAGGCAATAGGGAATGGAGATTCTCCTCCTGAAACCAAAAGGCTTTCAGAAGATGTAGCAGTAGTGCCTCTTGTAATTCCTGTCTCAGTACCTGTAACAGCTGCAAACCAGCATCAAGAAAGCAAAGTGGGTGGTGATTTACGGTATTAACTTCAGATTATACAAAGATAACGTTCATTTACATAGATCTGATTGGTACAGATCCAGTGGGACTTCATATTTAACTCAACGGGGTGTATTAAAAATACTTCAGTGAAAAACATTTTTATCCAGCCTTCTTAAGAAAAATCCAATTTTGAAGATTTCGCACTAGACATATTTTGCTAGACATCCAGTCATTCTTCTGTGGCTTCTGCACCACCTCTGACTGCTTGGGCATGGCCATTTGGAAACAAGCAAATGAATATGTTCAAAGTATAATAGATTATTCTACAAATCTTTTCCCAATTTAATCCTGCCCTTGCAAATGTAAGAAAAATAATTTCAAAAAGTACTTCACTGTGTCTGGAAGATGCTTCGTCTTCAGGGGATGGGCTGTGGCGCTCTTTGCTTGAGACGGTAGCACAGTCTGCTCAGTGTGGGTATAGACACAGTAAGCTACAGAATTGGTAGACATTCCCTTCTTATTAACAAGTATTTTATTTATATCTCATTTTTTCATGATGAAACACATTACTGTACATTTATCGTGCAGATTCCTAGAGTAGCATGCAAGACAGGTCAGTATTATCATCCCTACCCTGCAGATGTGGGAGAGTTACAGGGGGCACACTGGGAAAACATGGGTTGCTTTGGTCCATCCTGGGTTGGTTAATAAGTCACACTGGCTTGTTAACCACCCTACGCATGTTGCATGCCGGTTGATGCACAAATTGTACTGATTGGGCACAGTTTATCACGATGTGACTCTTACTAGGTTTGGACATCCCTATAAGCTGAGTCCAGCAAATACAATTACGCATGCACAGGGTGGTTAAAAAGTCGTGTGAACTGGGTCAACATCTTGTCAAATTATGTACTTTAAAGCTTGCCTAGCAACACCAGACTGACTGAACTGCCTTCTCTTTGACTGATATGATTATGACATCACTGGTCTGTTCCTTCAGCTATTGCTTTATTAATCTTCAGTTGCTGAGCTGAGTTTGCACTTCCCCTTCTTTAGTAGTAGCTTTGTTGGATCCTCAAAATCTTTCCAGGTCCCATAAAAGAAATGTTTTAATAAATAAATAAAATTGAGAAGGTTGCAGACTTTAGGCCGGTGGAAGATTTGGGCTCTGTTCTTCCAGCGACTGTCACTGAGCTGGACTCTCATTGCCTGCCCTTCTTTGATCAATCTCCTGTCACTTTAAAGGCCACGGAAAACTTCCCTTGACATAGCAGGCCTTTCGAAACGAGAAGGACTCGGTCTTTATTTGTGTGCTGCTGTGCATTGCAATAGCCTTTGCTGGCACCACCACCATGCAGGGCACAGGTAAGCATTTGCTGCCAGCGCTCCTGTTGCCAGCTACACCAGCACCGCCCATTTGGTTCTAGCAGTGCCATTCAGAAGTCACTGTGCACCCATCTTTTTATTCTTTAATGAATATTTTTCTGGTGAGAAAAAAAGACAAGAGAAAACATATGAAGGTTAGAACATAGGAAGAGAAAAGAACATATGAAGGTTAAACATGGAGGACAGCATCCTCTGGAACCCAGAAAATTCTGTTTGAGTGGGATAAGAGCCTTTCCTGGAAGCTTGACTCTCAGGGCAGTAGATGCCAGGATAATCTCCTTCTGCCACAAGGCAAACGTACAAGATCCCAAAGGCATCAGACAACACACTCGGATTCAGCAGGTTCAAGTGCCTTCTGCTCATCCTGGGGAAAAGGTCTCGTGTAGTTCCCTCCACCTCCCATTTCCTTCCCTCATGAGGACTGCAGTCAACTCACCCTCCAAAAGCCTGTTTTATGAAGGGCTTTTGTGAGGTCCAGGTGGCAGCAGACTGATCAAGAAAGGGTAGAGACTGTGGGAGTCCAGCGCAGTAACTATAGCTGGTGGAGCCCACTCCCCTCTCCCACCCACCTGAAGGCTGCATCTTTCTCACTTTCAGAAGCTTGACAAGATTCTGGGGCCTGCCAGGTGGTATTGGAGTCACCCATAATGACAGGCAAGCAAGTGCAAACCTGTCTCTGTTGCTATAGACTGAGAGCAATAGCTGGAGTGACAGAACAGTGACATCATAATCTGGTCAGCCAATATTGGGGTGGTGGTGGGATTTCAGTCTCATGCCAGGATTGCAGCTTTGAGGCTTGTACTTTTTTTACAAGCCTAACTTGTACTTTTTTTACAAGCCTAACTGCAGCAGCTACTGTTTTTTCTGCAACTCTTGAGCAAGTAACTTAGCATAACAAAAACTGAAATTTAGGAGAACTCCTCATTGAAGTGGGAGCTACAGATTTACAGTACGTGCACCAAACAACGATTTTAGAGTAACTTCAAGAGGTGTTCTCAGACGTTTGAAGAACATGGTGGGTCATGGGGAGGAGGAAACAAAATCATATGAGTTGAAAAACTTTGACATGTTTAGCCTGGAGAAGGGAAGGGAGACATGATAACTGTCTTCTAATAACTGAACTGTTGTCACATAAAAGTTGGAGCATGCTGGTTACCTGTGACTCCTGGGGGTCAGACTAGATGGGGGGCAATAGTAAGAAAGTAAAAATTAGATAATAGGAAGATAGAGGGGAATAGACAGGTGGGCTCTCCTTTGCTAGGAGTATTGAAGCAGAGGTGGGATGACTATTTGACTGGGATGATGTAGATAAGACTCCTGTACTAGATGAGGCTGGACTACTAGATGATACCCAGATCTAAAATTCCGTGTTTCTAGGTGGTGTCTCAGTTAAGCTTCAATGAGAAAAACCTGATGCAACACACTTAAAAATCCAGCACCATACAGGTCACAGTGACTTTTTTTCCAGGCAGAAAGTTAAAATCCCATGATCTATGTCTGCCTTTCAGGTTGATCGGAAGGAAAGTCAGGATGATAAGGATCTCCAAGAAGGTTTGCCCCAGAAGAAGAGGAAGAGGCGAACCCGTCCGAAATCACTTTTTATTCCACCCCCTCCACTGATCTGCAGTGAGATGCAGCCTGGTGCTGGAGGATGCTACCAAAGTCACCTCCGCTCTCCTGTCTTCCTCATGGACCATCTCCTCCAAGGCCTAGTTCAGTGCTCTCCTTACACACCGCCTCCAATGCTCAGCCCCATCCGGGAGGGTTCAGGGCTGTACTTCAATGCTCTCTGCTCTTCATCTACCAACTCTGCTTCCACCAAGATGTATACCTCTGTTTTAGGTAGGTAGCACAGTAACCCATTCACTCCTATCAGTATGTGAGGCTATTGAGGCAGGCCATTGCTCCATTTAACCCAGGATTGCTTCCTCAGATTTGCAACAGCTCCCCAAGGATTTCATGCAAGGTTCCTTCTAGCCTGACTAGAGCTCAACTGGCTCCAGGACATCGTACATGCAAAGCATATACTTTAGCACTGAGCTGTGAAACGGTCTCCCACACTAGCAAAGGGAATCCCTGTCAGTGCTGGCTGGGCAGTTTTCACCATGCTTGAGCACACCGGTTTGAAGGACCTATGGAAAGCAGTGGAAAGTAGGTTATGGTTTTGCAAGGAGCGGTGTGGATCATGTTCACAAAATCACCCCAAAGCTGAGCTTTCTGGGCGTGAAAGCAGTTGTGTCTTGTAAGTGCCCAAAATCTTGGCGTCATTTTAACAGCAGATGTTGTAGGGAACAGTATGCAGTCAAGATGCAGTGATAAATGAAAGAAAGAAAGCAAAAGAAAAAAATGCTCCAATTCAGGGTTGTAGCCAGCCATTCTTTCCAAGAGGATATTCTGCTTTATTCTTCTGTCACCCCATCTTTTTCAATTGCCACCACATTCCATGGCTGCTGAACATGCCCAATTCTATTTGGGCTTTTTGGGACTTCTCCAATTGTTTTTAGATCTCATTAGAGTGATTTGCACCACCATCTTATTAATGCTTAGTTAGAAGTATGTTTTATTGTCTTAAATGGAGGTTAATCCCTAGTAAACATGTTCAGGATTGCAGCCTAAAATGTTACTGCCACAGTGTTTATCATGGGCAGCTTGGAACTTGCAGTAATTGAAAATATGTTTTGGACATTCCAATCTAATAGCTCTTAAAAAATGGCTTACTTGTGTAATTGGCTCCTCATAGGAGCTCTTGTAATCAGAGAAGGTATAAAAGGTGGAGGAAGATGTGTTGGTTTCTCAGTGGTGGGATTTTAAAGTGTGATGGTTAAGAGAAAGATTCTATAGTTATCACTGTCTCTAACATCGGTTTTCAATTTTAGATGGAATGGATGGAGCTCTTCTGTTCTCTCTTGTGAAAGATACCACCAAAATCAGCATAGAACCGTAAGTGAGAGGGTGAAGATGTTAATGCATACAATACCTTAAGCCTCTCTTTTCCTTGCCGTAGCTAGGCAGGTAGCATTTAACCATTGCAGTTCCTCCTATGCTTCTTATACCCTCCCTGTGTTCTGTACTCACAGTACTTGGCTATTTTTCAGTTTAATATTTAGAGGTATTTTTTCTGATGCTATAAATACCCCCAAGCTGCCCCTAACAGCAGAATACATTGGTGGGACAATAAAGTGACTATAAAAATGATCTACCTATAAGAACATCTGCCTACAAAGGCATTACAGTCTGATAAAAGCCGTCAGTGAAGGGACAAGTCAAAACCTTTTTGGGAAAAGTTTTTCAGAACTGGGGTGAATCCCTGTCTGATTCAGTTAAAGAAGTAGTCCCACTTGGTTGGGTGATTATCCTCTGCTGGTGTGGCATTGTATTTTGCTTACATTTTGTCAGTGAAAATCAATAATGTTCTTACAGCACGGGTAAGGTTATTTCTGTATCATTAAAGTAATAATTGAAATTTAGAGCAGAATAATGAAAGGCTGGATGGGGTTCTTTAGCAAATACAGACACTAATAACTAATGGATGCAAGTATATGTTGGTAGGCATCCTTTATTATTTAAAGTTAAGCATGTCCCTGAAATATTTTAAAGAGGACCCAGCAGGGTTCTTAGCTGGCCAGCATATCCCTTGTGTGAGGGCTTTGATATAAACTGACAGGAATAAAGAGTGAAGAATGACTATAGAGCCCAGACAGAAAACTCATTGAACACCAAGCTTTTGTCCTGATTAAGGAGGCCTTGCAGCTTTAAGGCAGGGAATCTCCGCACACAAACATGCAGACTGTCATCCAAACTGTTGTGGTTTTGCTAGTGCCCTGAGATCAAGGGTCAGTTTTAGAAGACTAGAGAAGCTTCTCAAACAAAAAGAGCAGATACCTCCTCAGGGTGGAAAGGTTGCTTTGCGTCCCTGTAGTGCCCTTTGGTCCTGTTTAAAAAAAAAAAGCAGGCAGCTTTCACATTGATCTTTTCCTTGCCTGTCTCCTATTTTAAACCTGAAGTTCTTGGGTGCTTTTGATGGGCTCACTTGAGGTCTGGAGGCATGCAAGGGTAGTTTTCTGGGCTGCAAAGCAACAGAAGCTCTTCACCTGAGTCCAGAAGCACTTGGCATTCAGGAAGACCCATGGCTCAGGGGTGAAGCACAGGATATGCAACCTTGCTCCCTGTTCTCCCTTCAGGGAAGACCCAGAAGAGAACCATAGTGGGCAGTGAACTTACCAACGAATACTTGATAAGTCATTTTCCACAGTAGTCCAAGACAGATAACATAGGGAGAGAGTAAGAACACCAGTATTTCCTCGGTATTCCTTGTCCCCTTCTCCCCACATAACTGCACGTAAGTTAAAGCGGTCAGAAAAAGTTAAGCAAACAGGAGGAGCTTGTTGCCCTGGAAAAGCATTAGCCCAGGTGGTCCATGTATGTTGAAGGCCTGGGTTGGCCTAAAAACCTCACTTGTTTGGTAAAGAAGTATTTGGTTACATTTTAGTGAAAACAAAGGGCAAAAGGTAGGTTACGCCTTCTTCCGCCCAGAAGGGATGACAAATAAAGCCTGTGGTGTCCTGTCCTTCCCTCCCATCCCTCCAGAGGTTTTGGAAGCTGCAAAATCTTCAGGTCCTTTAAACCTCCCCAGTTTCAATTCTGCTTCATCTCAGAAGGCCTTCATTCTAACACTTGGCAGGCACCTAAGTCCCACATTGGAAACTTTGAAAATCTATCCTAGTAAGATGTGATGGAGGCATCTCTTTAGGGGGGCTGATGCGATAAAAACTGCCATGCATCTTAGGATAGCATGGCCTTACCATGTAGTCTGACTTCTTGGAAGGAGTGCCTTTTCCTCTTTGTCCCTCAGGTTATTCTCTCCATATATAACCCTTTCACCTCTAGACTCCTGTCTTTGCCTTGCTTGGATGTGGAAGAAAGTGGGGATGGAGCTATCAGGTGACCCTGCCTTCCTACTTTGTATTAAGGGAACAAACCAGTTTGGTTTCCCATACTGTGACTGGGCTTTCACAGTAGGTTCCTAGTGCTCTAGTCCTTTGCTTCCTGATTATTGCAACAGATTTTCCAGTCCCATATAATAGTTAGACTATCTATTGATAGTCTGGTAAATTGACTAGACCGGATCATAGGAACAGCTTCTAGCCTAATCAGTTTCACTCCTAAAAGTATTTTTAAGAGTACTTACCCCGCAGTAGTTATCTTAGTTTGTTGTAAAGACATTTAAAGACTTAATATAAGTTTAAATTGGTCTGAGAAATTGACTAGGAATCAGTGCAGATCAGAAACAACTGGTGTAATGTTTCTCATAGAATAAGATAATCAGCTTCATCCCAAAGTGTTTGGAATCATGCAATTGTACTGCAATTGCACATTATCATCCATGAAATATTCTGGGCTCAGCTTCTTTGCCGTTTTTTTTTTTTTTCTTGAATGGGCTGAAGATTTGGACTAGATTCTGTAAAAAGAAAACCCCATTTTCAAACAAGAGAATATCCCTGAAGATGTTCCTCTCCGACCTGCAACAAGCTGATCTGCATGCTCTTGTCACTGAAATGGCTCCTTTTCCTTCATGGTAGTACTTCTTTGTGTGCATTTTGCTGCAGAGCTTTTCGTCCCCATAACTTCATTTACTCTGTGTTGATACTGCATAAGTAAAATGCCTGTAAAGTGCTCGCTCTGCTCTTCCACCAGTATCCATCCCATCTTCTTCACCTTTGCCCTAGATTTCTGGATTTTAAGACAACTGGACAGATACCTTGTCTCTTCTGTCCTATATAGTAATAAAACTTAGCACAAGACCCAGCAAAGTCAGGATAAGTAAATAACTGCTGTTATTTTTGTTTTTGTTAAGTGGCTGGTTCATTGTTCCTTTGCTTTAAATTTCACAAAAGAATTAAATTTTAAGCCTCATGTAGATGTTCTTCTCATAGGAATAATAAAATTTGAAAATACCTTTTTTACCTTCCAAATTTGGTCTAATAAACTTTATCGTCACTTATTTTGTCTCTGTCTTTTTGTAAGCTCCTGCTGGTTCACAGGGTGCCTTTTTACCTTGCTCCTCTCTCATTTCAGGCATATTAACATTGGAAGTCGTTTTCAGGCAGAAATACCAGATCTCCAAGACAGATCATCCATAGAAAATTATGAGCATCCAGCCTCACTGGTATGGAAGCCATGGGGAGACATCACAACCAACAAGGAAACACAGAAAAGAGGTATATTGTTGTCAGCTTCTCCTCCATCTTCCTACAAATTATTTTCTGTTTCCTCTGAACCATTCCATTTTTATTCATGTTTTTTAATTAAAAAAAATCTTGTTTGCAGTAACAGATTTGTTAAAATTGGCCTGCTCCAGTGCGATGCCAGGGGGAGGGACCAACCTGGAACTGGCTGTGCATTGTCTGCATGAAGCCCATGGAAATACTTTGGTAAGATTCATTAAATTAACCTTTGACACACTGACCAGGATTTGCTTTCTGTTGTGCTGTTGAAAATCCCAGACTGTTTGACTCTTGTGGGCTGCACATAATTTACTGCAGGGCTGGCATAAATAATTAAGAGCACAGTCCTCTGGGATTGCTGCTAAGCAGACAAAGGGCTCAGAGCTCTCTCTCTGTCCTGTGCCTGGTTAGCAAGAACCAGGCAGGGTGAGAGGAAGATGAAGATAAAAACTTTTCTTGTTCCTCATTTTCCTTGCTTTTTCAGCTACACAAGCCTCTTGTGGGTGGCATATGTGATGGAGAAGCTTGAGGATCTGATGGATCCCTCCTCCTCTTCCTGTACACTGTCCTGCCTCTTTTAACCTGTTCACAGGCTCTTCTGACATCATTCCCATAGTATTTTCCATGGAACCTGCAAGGGGGTGAGAGGATAACCCAGCAATCTGTGGCCTAGCCATATCCTAGTGTCCCTGGGATTGATCTGTCAGCTTAATTCATACTGGGAGTGGTTCACTGGTAGAGGGTGTTGGAGCAGTAGACAAACACATGCTTAGGTAGCCCTTAGGTGTACCGAAAAAGTACTACCTGGTGTGAAATACCAGCTATCTTCCATATGTCACCTTGCAGCAAAGCTGGTCCTCTCCAGGGGGAACTGCTCAGAATTGTTCTCTCCCACCTGAGTCTTCCTTATTTGTTTTTACTTGGAGAGTCTGTGTCAATTTTCTCTAATACAATTGCAGATGGCCCTGGAAATGCTGCTACTCCAAGGACCACAGAAGCCTCCTGGTCATCCTCTTGCTAACTACCATTACTCAGGTGAAAAGCAATTGCCCAAATTGGTCAAAATGTATCCATGGACTCCTGAAAGCTGTGCAACTGCAGCCCCGTGCACATTTTTATAGGATCAAGACATAAACGGATTTACTTCTGAGTAAAAATGCTCTCAGTCTCCAATTCTAAATGCACTTCCACTTGCTTTTAGTGGGCCTTGCAAGTAAAAATGCTTAGGGATTGCACTGCCTGGCTGTAATTCTGAGTGTACTTAAAGGAAAATCCTGTTTGCTCTGGCTGTCTGTATGCGTCTGAGCCCAATTCAAGGTGCTTGTTTCAACCTATAAAGCCATAAAGGGCTTGGAACCACAATACCTGACAGAACGCCTCTCTTGACCATCTGTCTAGACACTATGATCAAGATTTGGGGTCTGCCTCCTATTACCATCTCCAAGGAAGCCTGCATTAGTGTCAACAAGGAGAAGGGGCTTTTCAGTGATTCCCGCCCCCTCCCACCCTGGTCTTGAGGCAACTTTAATGTCTTTCCAGTGCCAAGTTAAGAGTGTCCTCTATCGCAGAACTTTTAATTAGTTTACTGGGACTTTGTTAGCTGCTTTAAAAGGTTTTAAGCTGTACTTTGTTTAAGCCATTGTAACTGTGTATGTGTTCTGAATTTGATTTTTAATTTTTGTAGGATAAGCTTTTTATGATGCTTTTAATACTGTTCTATATTATACAGTACCTGCCAGAGAGTCTGGCTATTGGGTGTTATATAATTTAAATAATAATACGCACATTTGCTCAGAACTGAGTGGTGCTTGCTTTCAGGTAAATGTCCATAGGATTGCAGCCTTGGGCATACATTCTAGGGAAGAGCTGCATAGTGAATTCAAGAGTTTGGATATGCATTTAATACTATTCAGAGCCTTGCAATGGAGAAGCAAAGTATTGCTCTGATTCCTCTGGGTTTCAGGAAGAATGGGAGGCCTAGTATGGAGGTCTAATGGGAGGAGAATGCAGACCCCAGCAGCCATGTTCACTCCAAGGCTGCAGCAGCACGCGCTCTTCTGAAAACAGCTGGTTTTGTGTGTGTGGTGGCAGTGCTATCTCCAAATTCAGACGTCTTCTGGGAAAAAAGAGATGCTAATTGAGAACACTGCAGGTTATGACCAGAAAATTCAGTGACAATTTTTCTTTGTAACCTTTCTTTGTGGATTGTCATTTTAAAATGCATTGTAAAACTGTTATGTGCAGCAGGATGGAATATAACCACTAATTGGAGAAAGTCCTCTACAGAGCTTTATGAGCACATAGTTAAGGTCTGGCAGATACCTGATATTATGACACTAGCTTCTTTGGAGTTAAGGAATGGTCCGTTGCCCTAAATGTATAGAACATACGGCATCATTTGCCCACTGCCAGGACAAGCAATATTTTTACCACATTCATTTTTTGTTTTCTTTATTATGAAATAATGTGAACTGTATTATTAATCCTTGTAATGAATTTTAAATGTAAATTTAAAAGGAAAGAGAAGTTCTGAAGAGTTCGCCAAGCATATTGACAAACTCATTACCACACGTCTCTCTCCAGGGAGGCAAGAGGGCAAAAAAGAGGCAGTAAAGGTTTTAATTTTGCTAGAGTGATGCTCCATTAAGCAGATTGCCTCTACTAATAATTTGTTTCTTGTTGGAACTTCAGGTTCACATCTGTGGACTCCTGCTGAGAAACAGTTGTTTAAGAAGGCCTTTGGCTTACACAAAAAGGATTTTTATCTTGTACAGAAGAAGGTAAGACCTTCAGCAGTCCAAGGAGTCATCTTTTAGTCTGCTTTATTTTACGAACTAGATTTTTGAATGGCCTTCATCCAACAAGCTCAGTTTCTAACATTTCTTATTTTAGAATTTTTCTGTTACATTTAGCATTGTACATCAATGTCATTATATGAATAACTGCAATTTAAGTTAGATTATACATACATCATACAAAATGCTCCTTCCTTGCCAGACCCAAGACCAAATCCATCCCTAGATCCACTGGACCACAGGATGTGTGGAGAAAATAAGTATAGCAACATACCTACTATCTTTTTGATACTATGTTTATTATTTGTTGTATGCTCACTCATTTTTTTCTTTTTCCCTCCTCATTTAATAGATACAAACTAAGACTGTTTCCCAGTGTGTTGAATACTACTATAGCTGGAAAAAAATATTAAAATTTGACTGCATTCGAGCACAAGTGGTAGAAAAGAGACCCAAGAGGGATCAGGATGAGGTAGAAATGGATGAAGAAAAGGTAGAGCAAGATTGAGAAAGATTTCTGGGGATCTGGATAAGAATTTTCAGTGGTGGCCCCCAGGTTATGGATGGCCTTTCACCAGGAGGATCACTTGGCACCCTCTCTGATTGCTTTTTGATTACTATCTTAGTGCGTTATGATGTGGTTTGAGCTAGCTCTGCGGCTCTACGTGTTCTAAAATAACAGCAGATGCCGCACTAGTCTCTCTTGTTTTGTTTGCTAATTTCACAGGGCTTTTGTACTGCTTCATTTATTGATTAGTGTCAATAAATGACTTTTTTGTACATGGCTCACAGAAATTTTGTTATTGGGCAACTAATAGATGGAATAAATAAAAGCAAAACTATTTTATGACTTACAGATTCCCTGCAGCCCAAAGAAGAGGCATTTCCTGCCTAAACAGGAAAATAAACTAAAACCAAGGAATTACAAAAAAGCAACACAGAACACCTTCAGCCCAACCACCAGCCAGAAGGAACTTCTAGATAGGCCCAGAAACACAGGCAGTCAGGGTGTGTTCCCATGTAAAGAGTGTGCAAGGTAGTCATTTATTCATCATCTTGGTTTCTTGTACCATTTTGTCAGATCTAGTTGGTGTATAAGCAAAAATTGTCCTTTTCCTCATCGTTTGTTTGTTTGTTTGTTTGTTGGGTGTCTGTGACAGTTTTGGAATCTGCTGCAGCTCATGCATATTGCCACCCTCCACATGAACTGGAAAAATCCAAACCTTAAAAGCTTTGAGCAAGTGGGGAGAAATTGTATTCCTGTCTTATTACTTGGGGTGGGGGAAGAAAGATTCACTTTGTTGCAGTCTCTCACTCAGTGCTGCAAAATCTTTGCTTTTATCTCCCATCTATATCTAGGGTGTTTGACAAGATAAAAAGCCGGAATGCTCACATGAAACGCCATCGGCTTCAGGAGCAGATGGAACCGATGATAAAGATTAAGTGGCCCATAAAGCATTTGAAAAATGAGCCAAAGAAGGAAGAAAGAAGCTCAAGCATTGACTTTCTCCCATGGTAACTGGGAAGGCACAATTCAGGGTAAGAATGCTGGTAAACTACTGCACCCTAGAAAAATAAATCAGCGTGTTGTTGGGCTTTTTGGAATAACCTGAAGAATCTTCTGATTTACTTGAGCAAGGGTGAGTTCATATACAAATTAGCCTGAGCTTCAGTTTTCACTATTGGAAGACAGAAATTGGAATCAAAACACACTATTTAATATTAATATTGACCTAAATACAGTGCTGTGGGAGCACATTTCTCCATACACCTTCTGGATCTTCTCCAGAGGGTTTTTCAACCTCTCCAGCAAATTTGCAGAGCATGCAGGGAGCTATAGCAGAGCGAAACATTGTTCTGCCAGTGATTGTCTTTTCTGCTGGTGGACATCCAGGATTAGATACAACCTGTTTTGGACTGAAACCAAAATACAACCTGGATTGGAGATAGCAAAGGTTTCACTCTACTTTCAAAGAGGCATCCATTTATTGACTTTTTGAAGGAGGAATTGAACAGTACGGATTCTACAAAGTTCTCTCTCTCTCTCTCTCTCTCTCTCTCTCACACACACACGCGCGCGCGCGCGCGCGCGCAATGCATTCATATCTGCATCTCTTCTGATCCTCAGTAACATCGAGCGAAGCTCATGTGAATTGACACTATCACACCAGGAGTCCTGTTCCGAGCCCCCCCGCCCCGCATTAGATGTAATGACAGCCAATAGAACAGGGCCAAGGAATATTCAGCAGAAATTTTATATTATGGGGAATGGTGGGGAGCTAAACATGCTAATGCTTTTTTGTGGCAGTCCTGTGTCATCTGCCACATCTAGCAGAAGGTGTAACATAACGCAACAGTTTTCAGAAGCATAGCTCTTTGGGGCTGTTGCAGCAAAAACACTGTCAAGACTGTCATAAGCATTATAGAGAAAATGTTTTAAGCCACTGTGGGGACTTCAAAACCATCACAACATTGGTCAGGTTTTGCTAAAATAAAAATGAGGTGTATGATTTAATTCCATCTGTATAGAAATCCAGTTCAGGCGAGTTGCCAGGATACAGCTGCCAATAACTGTAAAACAGCCTTTGCTTGATCACAGAGCCGCTTGTTCATGCTTTTGCTCAGTTATAGAAAGATCTTGTGCTTCCATTGAAATTCTATTATATCAGTAACCTTGCTCCCCACTTTCTCTTTTTTCTCCCCAACCATCTTTTTCAGAGTTCTTTTTTATTTTTATTTTGAGGAGGATGGAATAGGCCAATCAATGAGAAATCACCATTGTATTTAGTATCCTTTTTTCGATTCATGTTCACACAACTGCATTTTGATTCACTGTATAGTACTGCAGTGATCTGTGTTACTGTTATTTTGTATACACTCAGTGTTGCGTATTAAATTGGGTTCTACAGCCAAAGTTGTAACATCTGCATGGATTTTCTCAGATATCTCTTACGCCAGAGGATAGTCAAAATCCAAACAGAGTGGACATGTTGCTTTATCTTGCATGGAGGGAAGGGGTTGTCAACAGATCGCCGTGCAACAAAAGGCCATCTGGGAAGTTGGGTTGGAGTCCTTCTTGAGCCTCTGCAGTTCAGAAGTTGCCAAATACCTAGCTTTGTAGAACCCTGCTTTACCATGGTCACGTTAAAACAAAATTAGCAAAAGCTGGGGGACAGAGCATGTTAGAAATATCCTATTGTGGAGATATGTGGTATGTTTTAGACCAAGAACAAGAAGAAATGTTTTAGACCAAGAACAAGAAGAAATAATTTCAGGACAAATGGAAATTCATGAGATTCTATGGGATGGAATCACAGTAGGTTTGTGCAAGGAGGCCCATGATCCAGGCAGGCATTGGGCTGTTTCTGCTCTGTATCCATCCCCCGTGAAAAAGGCTGCTGCTTCCTTAATCTCTAAGCAGTTGAGGAGTAAGGGCTGCAAGCCGTCAGCTGTATCTAGATTCAGATGTTCAGCTCCGAGTTGTAGCTGAATGTGTGCATGGCCTCCATGGAAAAGTTGTAGCAGCTCTAACAAATCCTTACCTGTAGCGTTGAGTCTGTGCAGTCTCACTTGATGCTTCTGACCGTTCTTTTTGAGGGTGTTTGTGAGAAGCTCTAGGTCTTCTGCAGGTGAATGTATCCTTGAAGCCTAGATGCACAGAGTATTTCCCTCTCTTCCTTCAGTTACTGGCTCCATCTTGAAAAGCTTTTGTTGTGAAAAGTGATTCCTTATTCAGTTGTGCAGTAAAAGCTTTATATGGACTGTCTGACTCACGCATTTCACAGGACTAGGAAGCAGTGCAGCCTCTTATTCTTGCCCCCTCCATTTTCTGCTAGTTCCAGAGCAGCTAAATTTGCTTCTCGGCTGGAAAACCAGTCACTAGCTGCTATTCCACAGGCTTATCCACATGTGTATTTGAGAAAGAGCATTTGTTTGAATCCCTTCAATAAAAGCAAAGCAAGCAAAACTGAACTAAAACTTTAATTTATTGATTGAGCTCATCTCTCCAATAGACCCAGTGTTACCCTTTTTAAAGTATCCTACTTTGATGTGGTTGATTGCACCTTACTTTGCATGTAACACAGCCATTAAAAAAGCATCCCAAAAACAGGACAGTACGTGATTTTCCCCATCTTGAGTTAATTATTAATACAAATCAATTCTGTTGCCGTGTTCCCCTGTGCACACGCACACCAAAGTTGGAAGATGTACAGAGAACATGTTGTAACGATTGCTGCTGCCGTCGTTGGTCTAGCACTAAAATCGCTTGCTCAGTGTGTACTCTGGACTATAACTTAACCCCTTTCTGCCACCCAGTTCTGTGCAGTCCCTGTGACTGAGGCAGCTGGTAGTGGAAGGTTATTTGCATGCCTCTGTTGTCAGTGGGGGTCTTCGCCAGTTCAGAGGGAGGTTCTTGCTTCACCTACACAAAGCAGGGCCGTGCAGTCCAGAAAAGTGTACCGTCCCCACCTTTTGAGTGTTGTGTTCATATATTGATCGCTGGGCTTAATACATAGCAGTTTCTGCAGTAAAGGGGAAAAAATCTGCTACTGGACTAAAGACTTTCCTTTTTTCCACATATCATCACTGGTAATTCCTACCATTACTTCTCGATGGTAGGAAGGCTGCAACCCTACACAAACTTTCCCATGCTGTATATATAGTTTCTGTGAAAGGGCCATGGACTGCTATGCTCTTAAATAGCAACTCACCAGGCTGCCTATATCAAACCAGAATCCTCTCCAGGCAGTTTTGACAAATGTTTGTAAATCTTGCACAACTTAGTTGAAGGCGACACTTGCGTACGTAATCAGTTACAGCCTGGGTTGTTAATGGATTTTCCCTCATTTCTGTTTGGTTTGTCATTTCTCCATTTATCAGTTTTGCTTAAGAAACACATGGCAGATCTTGAAAATCTTGAAAACAGGATAATTTCAGTTAAGTGAAAAATGCGGTCTTGATAGAAAAAACCCCAATCTTTAAACTGTCTTCACTTTTGGGGATACAGGTTAATGGAGTATCCCCTATTTGCCATACTGCACCTGCTCCAGAATGGCTTCAAAGGTAAACTAATGTATTTCTTCTTCCTGAAGAAACCACTTGGTAATTCAAGCATGTAGTGTTTAAACCCAGTAGGGTACTGGAAATTAAAAATGAGGCACTTAAGATCTGGTAATGCAGAACTACTACCCTTCTGACTGCAGATTTGTATGTTTTTCTTTAAACAATTGCTTTGTAGGTATAGGAAATTCCTGGGGTGGCAGGTAGCAGAGTCGAACACGTAACTTCCTCCACCCGTATGGCCTGCAGTTTTGCTGCCAGTGCATCTCAAGAGCTTGCTGAGTGCTTGTCATAACTCTTAAATCTTTTCCCATTGATGGTGGTGGAGTCCATATTTCTCCAGGGGCTCTTTCACTTAACATGCTATAAACCATGGTCTATTCTCTTAACAATGATTGGTCATTTGTCATACTTATCACCAGGCAGCCTCCTCAGACAACTGTTTTGCATCCTCATATGTTCACAGGTTTGTCTCACATGGTTCTGTGCATTTGTGCTAAATCTGTTGAGCTGTGCACCGCTTCCACCCAGCTCTTAGTCCCCACTTGTCTTCACCAGAAATGCTTTTTCATAAAACTTCCAAAATGCTATGGGGCAAGTTAAATACATACATGCTTACCAGGAATTGGTACATTATTGGCATTTTTCCATGTAAATGAGAACTTATGCAGCTATTTGCAAAACAAGGTCTATCAACCTTAAAATCCACTTTTTTGCCTTACTATATAAATTGTCTACCTTATGATATTCACTCTTTCTTTGTTGCTAAAGTCATTAGAAAGCAGCTTTGAGGATTGAAGCGTTTAAACATCTAGTGCAACCAATAAACAACAAAATAACGGGTCTGTTTTTAATACAGAAAAAAACCCCTTAGTCTTCAGCTCTTGCGCAGTGGAGTCACTAGAGCAAAACTCAGTAATCTTAAATTAAATAGGTAATAACTCTGGCTTTTGTTTTATTTATGATAGTGTGGTTTCCTTAAGAGCACATTTATTTTTAACTGTCACCCTACGTACTTGCATTAATCCAAATTTGGGTGCATTAATCAAATTTTCAAATGTGCCAACTAAGAGAAGAAAACAAGAACCTTAATTTTTCTAGCAGCTCTTAATGTTCTGCTCACCCTCAAATCGAGGTGTGGCTCATGTTAACTTCACAGGATTTGGTTTACCCCCAGTGGCCTAAAGTTTAAAGTATCCTGCTGGACTTCCTATGTAATAAACAGCATTGATTATGACTGAGACACATGGTTATTTTCTTCATGTGTAAAGACGAGTCTCTTGAGCTTGGTGACGTGGCAAAAAGCAGCACAGAAGTGGTCCAAGCCAAGGGGGTTGGATACATTTGTAGTGTTTGCCCACAAAGACAGTGATGAGGAGGGGCGCTCTGAAGGGGCTCACAAAATCGTGATTGTGAGAACTGTCAAGCCAAAGACTGTAAGCTCTTGGGGGTGGGGGACTCGCAGTGAATGAGAAGGGTCACACTGGAGTGGGGAAAAATATCAAATCAGTCCTGTTGAGTCCTTGGAGAATACCCAGGGGAGGACCAAGGGGAAAGGAGTAGGGAAACGGCCCACAGGAAGACTCGTCAGCTGCACTGTGGGAGCTTTGGTTATAAACCAACCCACTGACTGATCGCCAGGGGATTTGATCCGGCATGTGAACTCGCCCAAAGATGGACTGGGTGTGTGATGGTAGTGCTTTCCCTAGCATTACCTGGACTAAAACGCCTGAGCAAATTGTGGGGCTTCCAGATACTGCTGATCTGCAATTCATGTCACCGTTGACCATCAGCTAGGGTGGATGGCAGCATCTCCAGCACCACAAGATGCCCATTCCTGGCCTAGCAAATGGTGAGCCAGTGTTCAGCAGGTCATTCCAGGTGACACAGGGTTCCAAGCTGCAGGCGCCTCATTGGAGGAGCCTCACAGGAATCTGAAGGTGAACCAAAGCACAGACACACGCTCTCACACACAGGGTGGCCCTTGATCTTCTAATTCTGGTGCAGTAAGAGCACCTTGTTAAAGAAAAAAAATGAGCCATATTTAAGGGATGGCCAGCCACTACAGCAAAAAAAATACAGGTAAGCTTAGATAAACTGGTTTTAAATTACCAGGCAAGGTCAAACTCTAACCTGGAGTAAAATGACCTGAAGGTCAATTCACCCTTTCCAGATGTCATAACCCCCTCCTCTATCTCCTGGTGCATTGGGCACACCCTTAGGCATTGGTTGGCCTTCCTGTCCTTCCCCTATTAAACTTCTCAGTACTGGTTGTGCACAGTCTTACTCAAACTCTCACTGCCGTTTCTCATAGACTCTAAAAAATCAAAATTTTGGTGCAAGAAAAGGATTTGGTCCAGGTTTTCAGGAGCAAGTACCCCTCTCCGGTGCTCCAGGGCACTTTCACTGGCAGCAAAGGCCTGCTCTGGGGGCACAACCGTGGCCGGTATGGCAAGGTATTGCCGGGCTAATCTGGCTACGGAGGGGAAACGATGTTCGTTGTTCTTCCACCAGTCCAGAGGGTTGGTGCTCCGCTTACACAGAGGCTCCACAATGTAGTTCTCTAGCTGCTGGTGGATCTCGGGCATACTCTCCGTCGGGTCCTTCCCCAAAAGGATGTCGTACATACTCTGGGACTGGCCGCCTGAACCCCTCTCCTTGTGGGCAGAGAGCTGGCTGCCTGTTTCAGCGACCTCTGCTTTGTAGTCGGAGTTTGGCACCCAGAACTGGGTTGACACTGGGGACTGGTGGTTAAAGAACTGGGACAGCATGCTTTTGATTTTTTTGTGCAGCTCGCTCCGCAGGCTGGGGCTAAGGAACCGCATTTCCTTGAAACGCGGGTCTAAGAACGAGGCGACCACTGCTGGGCTCTCTAACAATTTCTCTTCATCCAAGATACCCCAGCGCTGTGTCAGCTCTGACCTTATGTTATTCACTACCGTCTTGATAACGCCACTTGTTTCTTCTGCCTGCTGCCCAATGGCAGTGACAATACCGTGGATGCATGGCATGAGGGAAGAGATGGAAAAGTTCTGTTCCTCCCGCAGGAACGAGGTGGCAATTTTAAGTGTCCTCATAACCGGCACCAGATCCTGCAAGAGCTTCCACTGGTGGTCAGCCAAGTTCTGGACCACCGTCGCTCCCTTTGGATGCTCCTCCAGCACAGACATGATGGCCCACTTGAGGTCCAGCAGGGACTCGCACATCTCGATAGTCGTGATCCACCGCGCACCTGTGTCCATCACCAGTTTCAGTTTGGTCTTGTTGATGGCTTCCAGTTTGCTGTTCAGGGAGCAGGTGGCCTTCGCGTCCTGCTGGAAGTAGCAGACGATGCTACGGGCAGTGCCCAGGGCCTCCTGCACTTGTTCCACCTCAAGGCCTGCTTTGACGCAGAGGTGCAGCAGGTGGGCAGCGCAGCACAGGCTAGTCCAGCCGTAGATGCACTTGAGCTGCGACGAGTTCGCCTCCAAATCCTGTAGGCTGTCGTGCATCACACAGAACACAGACTTGTTGGATAACCCAAAGTCTGTCAGCACCGAGTACAGCCTGTCCCCCAAACTGCTCTCTGCTTTGTTCTCGTGCACCTGCTGCGTCTCCAGGATGCATCTCGCCCGCCGCCACTCCCCATCGATAAAGTTAGTCATGATTGTCAGGTATGTCTGGCTGGGCTGGGACAGCCAAAACTCAGCACAGACAACTATAGACTGGGCCGTTTGCAGGTAGTGTTCCAAATGTTGCTTGACAACGTTGTATCGATGCCACAGCATGCTAGAGAGCTGCACAGGGGATGGGAGGATAAAACTCGGTTCGAGGTAGCCGATTAGAAGGCCAAAACCTTTGTCCTTCACTACTGAGAGGGGATGGAGGTCCCGAAAAATCATTTCTAGCACAAGCTCCAGAATCACATCCGCCCTGGGTTCTGTGCAGGGCACAGCGTGGTACTGGCTGTTGTTTTCAGGCGTCATCTGGCGAGCCCTTTTTATCACGTTCTCCTGAGCCACGTAATCGGGGTCTGAAACCTGGTCATCCTTCAGCTGAGACAGCAAGGTGTCACGGATGCTGTGCTTCCTCACCAAGTGCTCCCTCATGGTGGTGGTGCTGTTATGGAAGGAGAGCTGTTTCTTGCAAACGTTACACTCCACGTAGGCGTCTCCCAGCTTGGTGTAGTAGTTCCACACCTTGGACTTGCGACGGTCAACATAGAGGGATGTGCTTGTTCCGTCGTGGCCACTGCTCTTTTCGCGCCGCCTCCTGGTGCACGGGCCCAGGTTGGCCGGCATAGCGCAGGTGTTGAAAACCATCGATATTTCTGCCAAAATGGAAAGGAAAAGAGAATGGTAATCCCATGGTTTGCCATGAGTTACATGCAGAAAATGGCAGCAGGCCCAGTTAGCTTGTAGGGAAGGACGAGAAAAGAACCACAAGGAAGATGGCATTCTTCTGCTAAAACATCGCAATTAAGACCCCTACCTGCTCCCACCCCACTCATTACATTAGAAAACATGCATTTTGGCGGGTTCATATTTTGTTTCCTGTTTCAGAAGGACCTTTCATTTGTGACTATTTCACAGAATGCTGAACCCCACTGTGAATAAACTGAAAACTGTAAGACGGACTGTGTTAGATAAGGCCTAAAGCTTATCCAGTCCAGCAATATGTTCCTATAGTGGCCAAACAGATGTCTAACCTTGTTTATTTTTTTGACTGTCCAGGGATACTAAATTGGAAATAAGTGAAGTAGATGGTACAATATCAGAGAGCAGACAAGGGTGCAGTAATGGATTATTCGCTCACTCTTGTCCCTAAAGATTTCTCCTAGGCATAGAAAATCAGGACTCTAGGAAGGACTCAGAACCATTATCTCCAACTTAAGAGTTCCTACATGCGGGAACTTTTAATAGAGGAACGTTTTAATGGTGAATCCCCATCTACCCCTTTGTGTCAAACAATGGTTTGTCAGAACTGGGTTGAATATCGCACAGCTATTTATAAGCTCTTCTCTCCAGCACATTGTCCCAAACAGTTTTTTGGCCAGGTTTAAACCTGAATATATTGTTGATTTCTGTAGTGGGCAGTCAACTTTCTAAGTACAGATGCCCCTAGGGCTGGGTGGGAAGGAAGAAAACCATACCTTGAACTGTTTGAGGGTAGGAAGATGTGAGTACAGGGAGAGTTTGTACTTCTATGATCTCCTCTTTGGGCTGAGCATCCCCTTCGTGATCCTCAAGCTTGACACATTTCTGCAAGAACTCGCTGACTCTTTTGGAGCTCACATCTTCCATTTCGTTCTTCGTAAGAAAGTCAAGGGGAAGAAACATCTAGAGTTACTGGATGCAACAGCAACCAAAGCAGACAGACTGATTGATTTATGATAATTGTATCCCGCCTTTTTTCCTTCCAAGGAACTCAAGGCTGCTTGCATCATTCTCTTCTACCTACCAGTCTTCTCATTACAACTCTGTGAGGTAGGTTGGGCTGAGAGCCTGTGACTGGCCCAAAGTCACCCAATTGGTTCTGTGGCTGAGTGGGGACTAGAATCCAGATCGCCTGAGTCCCAATCCTGTGCTCTTAACCACTACACTACACTGGCTCTCAATCCAGACATTCTCCACAGAGCAGCAGGTGATGTTTACCTTGACTTCAGCACATACCTGCATTGAAACTCATTCGACATAAGCAAGGCTGAAAAGTTTAGTCTTTGCAAGATCAGAGCATTTAGGCAACAGAAATAAGGAGTGAAGAGCAAGGCTGCCAAATTTTTAGTTTGTATTCATTGAAAAATGTTCTGTTTGGGATCCAATCTAGATATTTTTAAGTACGTGGTTAACTATGAATAAATTAACTAACTTCATTTATTGCCATAAGTTTATTGTTTGTTTGTTTTAAGAGGACGTTTTGCACAGCTCAACCTTTGTATGGAAATACAAGTCAATGCAGAAAACCACCACCATAAGATCTGGTACAAAGACTCTTGAATGGCAAGTAGAACATAATGAATTGTGATGCTGTATTTCTGCAGCAGGATGTTTCATAGGGAAGATCTGCTTTGCACACAGACAGTCCCAAATTCAACCTGGTAAACAGATGCTAAGCTGATGGGAAACTTCCCTTTTTTTAAAAAAGCAATAAATACAATGAAAACATGCTTGTGTGAGAGAGAGATTACACTGAAGAACCAGTGTGGTAACCTGGTTACAATACTGGACTCAGAGGAAAACTGAGTTTTTGTCCTCTCAGCCAGGAAGCTCACTGGAACCAGGCACTGATTCTCCACCTAACCTACCTCACAGGCTTATGAGGAGGGAGGAGAGTAAGATAAGCTACCTGTTGTTTTTTTGCTTGGGATATAAATGTGATTGGCATGCCAAGGGCTGCTTTGGAAACCACGAAGACATGCCTACTCTACAAACGTATGCTGGGACTGTCTCACTTTCACCAACCTAATTTCCCTTAACGTATCCTGGGAACTCTAATATCCAAGGAGGCTGAGAATGCTATTGGAGGTCCCTCACCCGATTCCCTGGCTGTGGTTCCTTGAGCAGAGGGAATGGCTCTTAAACCAGTTTCAGTTTTATATCGCATCCATGCCCCAGGCACTGCTTATTTGTGAAAGGGCTGTCTTCGCCGTTCTCCACTCAAGGGTTTGTAGGCTGGTCTACTTGCACCCCAAAAGCAGATTCCTCTAGCTAGGCAGTGCTTTGTGTGCTCCTGCCTTTGCCTCGCTGAGCTGGTGGCCTGGCTTGCACAATCATTTGCAGCCACGGTGCCTGAAATAAGTCACCATGGTTTGCGGGTAGGCACTGTGGTTTGAACCCAGCAAGGGTAGATGTTGGTGTGGTTCACGGATCATAAGGTCTGGGTGGCTTGGTAACCATGCCAACAGCAAACCCTTGCCAGGCTTGGAGGACCACACAACCTGCCGGCAAGAAGACAGTCACGTTGGGAGAAGTCGAGGACAGAAGGCAAAATACGAGAGGGATTGACTCCATCAAGGAACCCACAACCTGAGACTTGGAAGAGCTGAATGGAATCGTCATGGGCAGGACCTTCTGAGGGACTTTCATTCATGGAGTCATCATAGGTCAGAGAGTGACTTGATGGCGCATAGCATGCCAGAAGCCCTATTCCTGCCTGCCGTTATCTCCCTCTTGTCAGAAACAAATGTAAGCACAGAAATCACAAGGTTATAATCCTTGGGGCAGACTTAGTAGGGAGGAAGCACCACTGAACACTGGGACCTGAAGAAACTTGTGCAGGAGGGCAAACAGGCCAACCTTTACTATAAAAATGGTTGATGTCCACTGCTTAAGAATGTTAATATGCTTTTCTTGCCACGGGAGCTTATTTCCATGTGGCTCAACAAGGTGCATTTTTTTAACTTAAAAGGAAAAATAATTGTATAACTCCACCACCTCCACCTCACAACAGCCCAGTATACCCAGTCCAGGGCTTCTGTGCAAGGATGGAAGATCAGAAGCATGTCAAAGGCTTCCCTGCTCATCAGAATGCCAGTGATACCACTCTGCATGTAACTCCATTGGGTGAGCAGGACTCCCTGAGCTTTGCAATAAATCTGGCTGCAGAATTTTAGACTGAAGCATACAGGATGAATTGGAGTACATAGCCTTGTTCTATCAGTAACAATGAGTAAGTTTCTAAATAGCAAGCCATACCGTTATTACTACCAAACAAGGTATTTCTAGATTATTTTTTTTCAATCATGCCATTGCCCTGCCTCATCCATCCAATTTGATGGAACGGGGTGTCCAAATGAAGCTGAATTCCACTTTGAATCTCCCATGTTTTCTCATTGTTTCTTCCATCTTTTTTCATCTTTTTTAAGCAGGAAAGACTGAATAGCTCTGCAAGACTTTCCAAGTGATGCATTAGGAATCCTCTTGGAAGCACTGAGGGACTGTAGATTCACAAAGAGTGGTTTAGCAATTAACTCTATGGCATTCAGCTAATTAATTCCCTAATTAACATTATGCATCTCTTCATACTATAGTACCTCTCTCAGCAAAGGTGACTTTCATGATTTTTTAAAAATCCTGGGATGAAGGAGATTGCTATCTTGGCATGATACAGGAAATGCCATCTATATAATTTTTCATTCATACTTTTTGTTTTGAAATAACCACTTGAGAAAACAGAAACTGCCAGTATTATAATTCTTGTTTTCCCCAAACTCAGGTATTGTTTAATCATGACTTTTAATTAAACCATACCATCTTCTCAATTTGGATGAAGTCAAGAAACCAGTGCTGTTTGACTGCAAGAGCCAGTTTATAAGGCAGAATTTTCTTCATTTCAATGATCCACATTCCGTTTGTTCATTTCAGAGACAAAAAACCCCTGTTCCACATCGATGAATATGATTTACTTTCCTAGATGGCGTGTGCGTGCTTATATTTAGATAAGATTTCAATCAACCACACTGTAACATTACATGAAAACTGGGCACACGAGACACTTAATGTGCTCCTCCCAGATATTCCTGGAATGGAAGCTATCAAACCCGAAGGATCAATACAGTATATAGAAGGCAGCCATTCGGAAGGGAGAGCCTTTCCATTGCATGGACACATCACAAAAATCGAGCTTAACTGTGTGCCCATCCAGCCGGGGAATGGGTCCGTCCCTGACACCACTTCATTCTGCAATATATTCAGGAAGGCACTGAAAAGGCACAGCCTATCATAAACGTGTACAAGCTTCACTGGAACAGATGCTGCAAAATGCATGGGATAAATGACATGTCATGCTGTTGGAGGGGAACGGGGCCTTTCCGTTCCTTTAAGGACGCGAAAGGCGCTGTCGCAATGCAAATAAACGCAGAGAGAATTGATCCGGCGGGAAGGCCACATTCTCATCTTTTGCAGGTGGATTTCCCTCTAGAATCATCACCTCCCCTTTAAACCGCACCCCCCACCCCATCCCAAACGGCACCGTACCCAAGCAGACCGACGGAAGCACGATTTCAGGGAAGGGGAAATGTTGGCGCAGCGAGCAGGCACAATGGATTTCCATCCATCTCTCCGTGTAGACACACAGTCATGTACTCACTCCTTTGTTATCATGGGCATAGCGCAGGCTGGCTGGCTGCAGGCTCGCAGCTTCTGGTGCAGCAAAATGGGATTACAAACTAACCTTTCATCTGGAAGTGATTCCTTTAGGGCTCCTCTGAAAACTTCACAGCAGGATGAAAAGCGTCCCTGCCAGACTGCGACCTTATTCCCAAGAGGTGAGGCAAGCAAAGGCAGATCATACTTTAAAAGAGGTCTGCAAGCCTGCACTTCGCCTCCAAACTAGCAATATGCAGAGTTCACCACACGTTCCCAGAGGTGGCCAGAAGTACTTTTGGCATGCTCTGATGTGCTCTGACTTTATTCATATATAACGTCCCTACAAGTTACTATCAGTTATATGGAGAGAAATGATCAAGGCTGCAATCCCATTCAGTCTTGATAAACAACACAAGTTCCATCGAACTCCCAAGCTGAACCTGCACAGGACTGAATTGCAAAACAGTCCTTGCTTACAGAGGCACACTAGAAAAGGAAAAAGAACAGTGGAGGGAAGAGGAAAGCAAGCAAATGCTTAACATCACATTCTCTTGGCATCCATGCAGTATTTCATCTTCATTACAACTCAAAGATCACAAAACCGTGCATACTTTCAAGATGGTCAGATCTCTTCATTAACCATAAGCAACTCATGAAGAGAATCCATAGTTTGTTACTGGATTCAAAAGTATGGGTTATTTAAACCATGGGTTTGTTTTTATGTGACAACTTGGAATTATGGACTGTCCATGGGCTGTTTTGCCAGCCTACAGAGGCAGTGGGTAGGTACAGTCAAATAGTCCAGCCTCTTTACGTGTCAGAACTACAGTGCAGCGAAGACTGTTGGGATACAGGGAGATGATGAGCAAGGGAAGTAAACAACCCATAGGCTGAGAAAACAAATTATGATTTGCTTGTTCATCTGCCAAAGACACCCTGGATAGGGCAACAAACCATGGTTTGAATACACCATGGGTTAATGTTATGCACAAACCAGACTACTACTACTATTATTATTATTATTATTATTATTATTATTATTATTATTATAACATTTCTATGCCGCCCCTTGCCAAAACCTCAGGGCGGTTTACAACATGATAAAATACATTGAAATACAATAGTACATAATAAATTACCATTAAATATAAAAATACAAAAATACAGACTGTACTCTCTGCAGCAGCCCTTAATACTCTTATTTATTTTATTTATTTATTAAAACATTTCTATGCCACCCCATTCGCTGAAGCCTCGGGGCGGCTCACAACATAAAATTAAAATATAATACATACAACAAATTAACAATATAAAATTTTGGAGGGTGGATGGGCCCGTTTCCCTGCGAGATTTGGGGGTGGCTTGGCTTGGATGGGCAGTTAAGGCCCAATAGCTCGAGAAGACACTTGTTCCTGGTGAAGATGAAAATCGCTAGAACAGGTTTGTGGAGATGTGGCAACACAACTTCCTGTGATGGGTGGATTCCCAGGCGCATGGCTTTTGGGACTGCCATCATGAGCACCCACACCTCCCATTTACATGGGGGAAATGGGAGTGGCTGGTTAGAAGCAGCTCTGTACAGCAGCACATCAGACAGTACTTGGTTGCAGATCTCCTCTGTAATACTGAAGCTGGCCTAAAATGCTGCATTTCGCAGAGTCGCTGCGAACATGTTCAGCCAGCGCCCCTGGATCTGGCTCCCCCAGTGTCTCTCTTGCTGGGTCTATCCCAACAGGATTACAGCAGAGCCTTGCTCATGAACACACAACACTCTGTTAAGTGAGTCATGTTTGCAGAGTTTAGACACTAGAGGCACATAAAGAGCAGGTCGATCACTTTGGGGGAAGGCAGGGCATTGCATGTAAGTACAAACATGTCCACTCCCATATACACATACTTTGTGTCAGGGATTGTGCGAACAGGCAAAAGTGCTCTTTACTTTCTTCCACAAGGTTTCCTCCGCTGCTGATTCTCTTATCAGTAATTTCCAGTCTAGATGCTGGGTTCCTGCAGCAAGATTTTCTTGAGCTCTGCTGATTTCTGTTTCACACAGACATTCTGACACGACTCGTTGCTCTAGCAAGCCCGAACTACAACAGCAGGAAAATGTCTGAATTAAATACGCCTGGCTCATTCTATTAGGATTCAGTCCCAAACTGCATCTAACACAGTTTACTTTCGCATACAGTTGTACGGTTTGGCTGTATGGTGTTGAGAAACTTCAGATAAATCCTGGAAGAAAAGGTTGCTTACATGTGCCTTTGTGTTATAAGAATATCTGCACCCCTTTCTCAAAAATCACTACAAGTCTAAGCCAGGTTACGGTTTAGCATTTGCTGTAACTTTAAAAAGTGCGAACTCATAGCTTGCTATGAGAAGCTGCCAGGGCTATTATTTTCACCGATCATAAGGCTGCCAGGTTAACAGCATTGCAATCACCCTTATTTGCATGCCAAGACCCACAATAATCCTTGTGCCTCAGTGACTGTTATGCTAATCTCCTGTAATCAATGACATTATCCTGCTTCCTCTGCTTCCTGCTTCCTTTTGTCTGTGTTCACCTTATTTCTCCATCAACTGCCCATGTGATTCAGAATCTATAAAACTCTCTGTATATGTTCTAAAGCTTGTCCTGAGCCATGAGAATCGCTACCCGGTAGCATGCTTTCCGTAAGTAACTGCAGGGGTCCTGAGTGATCTTTCAATAAAACTGCTGAGGTTCAAGGCGAAACGGGTCTTTCCTGACTGAACCTGGTTATCCTGTTTCATGGCCGCAATTATCAGAATCTCAATTTGAGAAGAGGAAATAAAACTCGGGGTCGTAGGAAAGATCAGTCGTTATGAACATCCAGGTTCCCGCGGTTGACTCACGATAATTACCGGGCTAGCAGAGATAAACTCGCTGCAAAGCTTCAATACCATTACAGGGCATTTATAGGTACACAGGTACAGGGCAATTGATGATAGAATGCAGAGATTACAATAAGATTCTGAGGTCATCACATACAGAACAGATAAAGAAAAGTCAATCACACTGTAACAATGAGATTACAATATTTCTAATTGCTTGTATTGACACTTTAGTTGATTAACTTGAACCCATTTCCAGGTCTGCTCAGACATGCAAATTCAAGCTACTAGAAACTATTCATGATAAGCTCAGACCCTTATCTCGACTCTGACTCTAAACATTCTGCATGATCAGGGCACATGAAGCCCTCTGGGCTATCAAAAGATTATTGTAAACTGAATTCCAACAATGACTGTTTAATAATTGTGAAGGTATACAATGTAAATTTGGACTAAATGGCCTGTCTACTGTAGCCTACAGCTAAACATGAGAGAAAGGAGAATGCCATTTTAAACAGTGACAGCTTGGTTTTGAGAAGGAGTACAGGATTTGATCCCACAATGCAAAAAAGCACACAGAAGTAATGCTTTTCAGACAGGATTTATCCAAATTTTCCCAACAGCTGATGGCTGGCGCTCATCTCCTTAGGATTGTGGCCTACATCACTGGTGCAGTGGTTGTAAAAATTTTGGCGGAGACCAAGCACAGAAGCCGTCTTGCCCAGAAAGCGGCTGGATTTGCATTGTGCTGTTCCTCCAGGAGACTCCCGTCCGGGCCAGCTTTGATTCCATCAATTGCCCCCCTTCAAAAGTCAAAAGTGATCAGAGACGTGAGCCCCCCTTCGTTTCACTTCCTGCGTTCCCTTTAACTGCTCTGGTTGGGTCGGTGTCTTGCATTGCGGGGAAGGTGCAAAATTTGATGTTGTTGGTACCACAAATAATGCACATTGCCCCGGAGGCCTATTTTTCACTTGCATGCACTACACAGATCCCTTGCCCTCCAGTGTCTAGGATTTTCAACTGTTCAATTGTCACTTCTTATCCAGGTTAGGAAATAATGGATGTGTGCCCTTGAGAGTAAGCAAAGACATGGAAAGAATCACTATTTTGCTCATGTTTCTGAAGTCAGATTTAATGAAAGGCTTTGCAATATGCTTGCTTATTGGAATGTGTAATGTTGGAGACGGGAGCCCTTGAATTTTTGCCTTACTGCTTTCTCCCCTTCCATGAATACCTATTATCATGAATTAAACCGAACTCTTGTGCATCGTATCATCTCAAATTGGGCAACTTTATAGTCTCATTTCGTACTGGGTCGTTTAAATCATTATTGGTTTTCATCAACGGCAAATGGGTTTCAAATATTCTGCTACATTTTTTAATCTCAAAGTCGAGCAAGGATCTGGCGTAAATTCCTTCATGCGCCGCTAGTTTTCTGCGTAAAAAAATGTAAAAAAAATAACTATAGGGGAACCTAAAAAAATAAAAGCTTGAAGTGGTACAGCCCAACCCTATCCTCTCCCCCTGCGCGGGCTCAACCATCTCATTGGACCGAGGCAAACCAGCCCCTGCGGCTCCCAGCACCACGTGAGGCCGGTGAGTCAGCACAGCCTCGGTCACGTGAGGGACCCGGCGCGGCCGGCTAGGCGTTGTCCGATGCACGAGCGCGTGCGTCGAGAAGCTTGTGGGCGTGGCCATGTGGTGTTGTTGTTGACGCCGTTTCCTAATCCCGCGGGTCACGTGCCGGCGGTGGGCGTGCCCGGCCGCGCTGTCGCCGTCCGCCGCCGTGCGCGCTGACGTCAGGCGTCGGCTCAGCCTTCCCGAAGGCGTCGGTGTGAGGAGAAGGCGGCGAAGCGAAGGGGCTCGCGGCCGGTGTCGTCGTCGTCCTCTCGCCCTCCGAGCCTCCGGTGGTCGCGGCGGCGGCGCTGCTGCTGTTGCGGGCCGGCCATGGCGATGGACGCGAGCGGCAAGGAGAAGGAGGCACTGCAGCTCCTCGCCGAGGCCGACAAGAAAGTGCGCGGCTCCCACGGCTTCTTTTCGGGGCTCTTCGGGTGAGGCCCTCGCGAGGAAGTCGGAGGGGAAGCCGAGGCCGGGCGCGGGAAGTCGGCGGAGCAGCAGCCTCTCGCCCTCCGCACGTACGCGACTGCCTCGCAGCCGGAGGGCCTTGGGGGGGGGGGGAGGATCCTCCTGCTGTCAGATGGTTGTGGCTGATGGGAATTGTGGACGCACCTTCGGAGAAGCTGTTACGTCCTGAAAGCGCCCTGCCGTTGTGAATATAGGGACTCGGGGTGTGGAAGTGGTTGGGAACTTAATAGGAGAAGTGGTTCAAAAATGAAGCGGGGCGGTGTTGCTTGGGGAAGGGTGGGAGGTGGTGAGTGCCTGGGGCTGTGGAGGAGGCGTTGCCGAAGACAGCGCCGAGAGAAATGCTTTGGGGAGAAGGAGGTAATGGGGCTTTTTCCGTCGTGGTGTTGTGGTGCGTGAGGAGAGGAAGGTGGTGGCTTGTGGGGGGAGCAAGGCTACGTGGAGTAGTGACTGAGAGCAGTGAGGAAATCTGCGGAAAAGTACTGAGAATGAATGGCGTATGTGCACACGTGGGGGGATTCCTGTGATGAGCAGGCGGGCATTTGGGATGGCAGGAAGTCAGTTGTGGCCCTGAATGCAGTGTGGTAGTAATAAAACGAGTTACGTTGTGTGAGATGTCCTGTGTTTTAATGCCAGGAGCCTGGTTCAACTCGGGCACTTCACTTTATATCCAAGGAAACCATCTATGTCAAATAAGCCTTGTTGAATGCAATAATGAAATATGGATGCAGGAAATAAGCAAGCAAAAGAAAGCTTATACTCTTCTGTGGCTGTATTAGTTCCTTGAATAGGTCAGGGCCTCCAATGTTGCCGAGGCATGCAATTTATTGTTTCTTTTTCCCAGGTTGAGAGCAGAAGACGATGCCTGCTATAGATTTTTAAAAAGTTCTTTGCAGAAGTTGTCCATAATAAGGCTCTATCCCCTTACGCTTCCCAGGAGATGGGGGTGGGGGGGGGGAGACAGAGCTGCATCAGAGTAGCAAGAGCAGCCCTTCTCTATAGAGGGATTGAAGAAGACAACTTCTAGGCAATTATCACTACTGCTTTCTAGCAAGTGGAAAGCCATACTATTTGGCATAGCTTCAAGAAGCTATCCTGGCTTTTGGACACTGGGAAGGTTCACTTACTAAAGTTTACTTACTAAACCTGAATAACTTCCTTACCATTCTATTTGTAGAGCCCAGCCAATACAAAAAGAGGTGATACAAGAACTGGAAGGTCTCTGTATGTGTGTAAACATCTGAGGGGTAGAGCTCTGGAGGAGGACTGGGGAAAACTAATACTGTGTTGAGACTGAAAGGAGAAAACCTGGAAGTCTGGAAACGCATCAGAAGGAGCTGGATGGTTGGGATGCACAGCCGGGCTAAGTTAATAGGAAAACTTGGGGGATATTCTTCCAAAACCAATTAAGCAATGCATCTATAGTGCACTAGGTGAAGCAGCTCTTTCTATATAATGCTATGGGGCTCATGGGGAACTTCAGGGCAGGAGCTGTGATTTCCTTTATGGGCACTTTGTCCTGAATGCTTCCTTGCTTTTGTACCTCCAGGACTGTGAAGGGAAGGTGAACTGGGTTGGCTCTCAGGGAGGCATGGATAATTGCTGGAGGTGGTGCAGGCGATATTTTGTAGGCAGGGGCAGAGCTTAAGGAAGAACTAAGGAAAGTGTTAAATATGGGTTTTTGGATCCTTCTGTGGAGTCTGTCCTTTTGAATGAATGGTGATGTGATAGACGAGGGCTCTGGGTCAAATTCGGAGGCAGAGCAGTTAGACAGATCAGATTATAAAGGCAGTCAAAAGATTGTTGTCTTGAATAAATTGTTCTGATGGCTGCATCCTGCTCCATCAATTGTACGCCTGTGGAAGGCTTAGCACTCATACCAAGTGTTTTTATGGGATCCAGGATGGTGGGTGTCATGCTCATGTTGTTAACCATGTGTTCTTTGATTATTCACATTTTCAAGTGCTTGCCAAGTGTTTTTAATGCAAGCCCTAGTCTCCTGGTGTAGGCTTCCCCAGCTTTCTGAAAAAGGACATGAATCTATGTTGTTAATATGTAATGGGCTGGTTGGCATCTTTTTAGGGCCTGAGAACTTGTGTGAAGCCACTAACTTTGAGGAAGCTACTTAAATTGTTACAGGAAGTGTAGAGCATAGCTTAGATGACATTGCACCATTACATCACTGACCCTGTGTGTTTCTCCAGGACTTACCCTTGCATAGCTTCTCATTCTGTCTTCTGGTAGGATTACTGTGAAGGTGATAATGCAGCTGGTGAGGGGCTGCTGCCTCAACCGGAGGCAGAAGCGGTGTTTGAAGTACCTGAGCTCCCATCATTTGGCTTAGTTCCTATTACTGCTGCAGCTTCCCAGACTGTCAGACAGAGAAGAGTGCTTAAGTCTCGGGTATATTTCCCAGAAGGCACCCAGCAGCCTAGTGCTTAGGAGGAGGGATGCACAAGACTGATTCAATCTTGCACATGGATTATAGGCTTGCACAGGTAGCAGATGGTGATCGGAAAGCCTGCTAGAGCTCCCATCATCCTGGGATGGTGTGCTAGTTTCCCTGAGACTACTCACCCTGCATTTGCCGGTGTCTTGTGGAAGGTATGTTAGGACTGCTGAGCAGCTCAGATCATATCCTTGTGTTTACCCAGGTTTTATTTAACTCAGTGGGACTTCTCTGATTAAACCAGCCTAAGATCAGCCTGTGTGTGCGTTGCTTATAGCACTTGGGTAGGCACTGCTATTTAGTGGGAGTTAATTCTGTCAGAACCTAAAAGTAAGGCCTAGTTGCGGCTTGGGTTTTCTTTTCCGTAGGAGAAGTGGCATAGCGAGGAGGTGCCAAAGCGGTTGATTACAGGAATGGTTTGTATCTCGGAGCACCACAATGGCTGAGGGTGTATAGGTGGTGCTAGCATGAATTGAGACATCCTGCAGGACATGGTGCCTAGTAGTTCTAAGCTGAATAGACATGTACTCATTAGTCACATTGCCTGGATTAGTTGCACCTGCAGTTTCAAGAAGAGCCCAACTATTCTAATCATGCATTTGCAGCTTCAAAAACAATGTTCAAGTTTGTGTGATGTGTGTAGGGCAAATGGTAGAAAGGGAGATCTGGAAAACCCAAAGTTCACAGCTGGGTTTAGTTAAGGGCCCTGCAGAACACGAAGTACGCACTGGCTTGATGTGGAGACCCTAATTTGCAACTCCATGTCTACAGGAGTCAAATGGGGGAACTGTGATGAAGAAAATGACAAAACTTGAAAGGTAGGTAAAGCAGGGTAGAATAACTTCATGATTGGGTGTCCCTGGACTAAATAAACCCTTTGGAGTGATGAGTACAAATAAAGAAGAAAAGACTGTGGTACACAGGACAGGCCTGCCTTGAGGAATCGTATATTTGCCAAATCAAACACTCTTAATGCCATTAAGTTCTAAGCTTTGTAAAGGAAAAAACCTTGTTCTGTATCCTGTTCTAATAAGAACTGTCTTCCCCAGAAAGAGCCTGTTTCTTTAATTCTCAATTTCAAGATGGCATTTGGTTTTTCTAATTGCATATAGTCTGTACTGTGGTGAATTAAATGGAGGAGGATGCTTCAGACTAATGGAAGTGCACGGCACCAGCAAGATGCGGCCTTTTCCTGGAAGTATTCCCTCCTCAACCCTTGGGGCGGTTTCAGCTTGTCCTTTCTAGCTGGCAGATGGGATTACGTTGTCTTCTGGGGGGAGGGGGTAAGTGCAACGGAGGGGACAGTTGACCTTCCATCATTTATGAACACAAGAGGGCTTATATAAGTTGCTTTCCTTCTCCTTTCTCTTAGCGGAAGGCCCTTGCACAGTAGTCTCTGGGTGTAGAAGAATCGGTCTGTCTCTGCAGCTCTCCTAGCTGTGCATCTGTGTTCCCCCATAGGCAGCGGCTCTTACTGAAGCAGCAGCTGCTGCCCAGTGGCAGGCGGACAAAGCAGTGGAGGGCGTATGACAGAACTAGTGTCTCAAGGCCGATTCTCTTATCCTTCACTCTCATCTGGGCTTTGAGAGCAAGAACACCACCGCAGCTTGGAGCTGGAATGGAGCATGATTTTTTGCAGTTTGTGGGTGAAAGTCTGGTGCAGCGGTGGCTGGTGATTGTCAGTGGGAGGAAACCAGTCTAGAAAGGTGGGAGGGAGAATGTGCAGAAGAGATGATAAAGCAATAGTGCTTTTGCTTCCCAGGATTCTTCCTCTAGAAGCTGGAAGGGCACGGCTCAGTGTAGTGGTGAATATAGACATTTGCAGAGAATTGCATTATGCTGTTCAGTGTATGTGTGTTTGGGGGATTGTCTCAGTAACACGTTTAGCCTGTTCTACTTCAGAACAGATTTCTGGGTAGGATTAGTGCTCATTCACATTTTGGAAGGCTTTCATTCATGGGGGTTGCCATAAGTTGGAGCTGACTTGACAGAAGATAACAACAACGCATGAAGTAAATATAAAAACCCTCAGTGGTGTTTTACCACTGGAAGGGCCTGCCTAGATCAGGATGCAAGCGCTCTGATAGAGGGTGTTGACTTCCCTTTTTATTTACATCTCGACAGAACTGCTCCTCTTTGGCTGAGGGGTTGTAATTGCTGAACCGTGTGAGGTTTTTTGGTAATGAAGGAATCCTGGAGTTTCCTTCAGATGGCTATAATTCATCAGGGCTGAAACTGAACTCAAATATATGAATAGAGGTATGTGATTTTAAAGGATTTAAGAATGCAAACCTCATAAACAAATTTTTGCACTCTAAAATTATAGTTGGAGGACATGCTGTTGATAAAGATGCTGTCTGGTGGTCCTTTTATCTTGAAACACTAGTGCTTAAAGAAGCCCTGTACATAATGTGCAACTCTTTAAGGTCAGGATTTCAAAACTGAAACTGTCAGTGCTTATGTCCCCTGTACTCAACACCAAAATCCTTCTCGGGTTCTCAATAAATGGACAAGGTCTTGAGGAACATGAGTGGTATTCTCTCACCTTGCATTGGAGGTTGGAGAAGACAAGAAATAGCAACATTTATTTATTTATTTATTTATTTATGAAACTTCTATGCCGCCCCATGCGCCGAAGCCTCGGGGCGGCTCACAAACATAAACAAACTTCCTTAAAATAATATAAATTAACAGTATAAATATGGGAGAGAAAGCTCTTTGTTTTTGTGATCCAGAGGACTATGTAGGGAAGAGGTTGAGGGTGGCAACAAGAAATACCTGGCTAGTAAATCAAGACAGTGGTTTGGACTCATTGTAAGGAAGTTAACTTCCTAGACACAGTATAAAATCCTGTGCCGCACAAGGCTGAGGACCTATTTTGGGTTCCTTTGAGTACCCAGGTACTTGCTGTTTTTGCAGCCCTGGGATTAATGCCCCAGGGTTCTGTGGCTGAGGTGATGGGTGGATTTATGTCTTCTCAGTAAATTGTTCACAGGCCTGCACTATTCTGCCGCATCTTATGGTATAACCAGATGCCTCCTGGCCCAAGAATTTATCATTCACTGCCTGTGAGCTAAACCGTAACTGACATCTCGCCTTTGCTCGAAGGCTGAACATTGCTCAAATCCAACTTTTCCAGCCACACTAGCTTGGAAATCTTCCAAACCAGATTCTGTGCATTTCTCAGAACTGACTAAAGGGGTTTAACTGTTACACGTGTGTAAAATGCCTCAAAAATGTGCAGTGCAGGCTTTCTTCTCTGTGCCCCCCCTCCTTTCTGGTGGGAGGAAACCTGGGCTGGAAATGCTTGTCTTTCATGCTGCAGGACTTGTTTTATTGAAGCTGAAACTTCTGGCAAGGTCTGACGGTTTGCCATCTGTAAACGATTTTTGCAGGGACTGAATTCTGGGCTTCCAGGGAAGAAACAGGGAATAGTTGCTAATTTTAAGAGGCAAATATATTGGCATGGTTGTTTCATTCAGGGAGAACGTTGTTTGGCAGAGTGTTGGAAGTTTCAGGCGGAGCTGAAGCAGCCTTGGTTTTGGACAGATGCAACATTGTGCAGGAATGCAGAACCAGAGATGTGGATTTCCTAAAAAAACCCTGAATTGGCGTCTTTTCTGCTACTCTAAATAGATTAGGATCTGCTTTTACTTCCATTTAGTGAGCAAAACTAAACATACCCTGCTAATTTTGCATGAGGTATACATAATTTTTTTCTGAAAGCTGAAAGTGTTTGACTTGATAAGTTTCAGGTGGGGGGATTCCAGTCACTTTTGAATTGGAAAATATATTATTATTATTATAACATTTCTATGCTATGCATAGGTCCTTTTGCATAGGAAAGTCTTTAGATTACTTTGGAAAATTCTGAAAGGTTCAGATGCCTTAAACATATAACTTAGTGTGTTTATTTTATTGTAAGTAAACAACACAGTTGAAGAAAGTACCTTATGTTAATTTTTATCCCAGTGCGCTGTAGCCATTTGACATGAAACATTCGAGGGGAAAAAATTAACTGAACTTAATATGATTATAATTTTATATTACATAGAAAATCTGTTACTGGCATACTTGTACACATTTAAAGGCAGTAACATATATTTCCCTTACATGGTTTCAATTTAAGAAATAGTTACTGAAAAGCATTGACATAACTAGTGCATTCTTAGCAACTGCATGACAATAATTTTTGAACAGAATTCCATCTTTTGCCCAAGTCTTTGGTTGGGGCATCTTCAGTTTCACTGTCACTGTTTATTAATTCCATTTTACTCTGAAACATGCATGTATTTCAGTGACATGCAACTATTCACATACTTGCTAAGGGTAATAACTTGGAAAACATTAATTACAATTTAAAAACTGTCATGCTTGTATTTGCAGTTGGTGCACATTCGTTTTTACCAATGAAATTAGGAAAAATGCACATTCTTGGAAAATTTCCCACTCCAGATCAGTTGCATATCATTACACTACAATGTTATGTTCAAAGAATACATTTTACTTGGAAATTATGAAAGCATGGCAATTCAATAGTGTGCACTTCTCTTATTGGATATATTTTAAGAGGAAAAAGTGAAGCTCTGTCAATTTGTCTGGCACATTGGAAGGACTGTGCATTTGATACATATTTTCTTGGCATAGGTCACTGAAAAGCATTTTGAAACTGCCCAGTTTGACAGAAGTAAAACTTAATTTTATGAAACAGTGCATTCTTAGACATTTTTTTTCACTCCCTGGAATATACTTCCTCCTACAGTTAATTTATAGAATATACTTGAAGTGCATTACAAATGGTAGGGCTGAATTGGCCATAATTGTGTTTTCCTTTGCACGCTAATCCTGGGCACGGGGTCGTGGTGGCCAAAGGAGTCTGCATTTGTGATGGTTTAGGTGCTCAGGGAAAATACGCTCTTTAGGCTGTCAGTGTCCGGCATGCAAGAGTTTGAACCTGGCGTGGCATTCTTTCTGTGCCATGCCCATTAGTCACTAGTCCTTAATTGTCTGTTCAGATAATATAATACTTTGTGGAATTTCTTCACATTAAACATTGAATTATATATCTCTAAATACCTTTTATTTCATATTCTTTTAGATTTGGGTGAAGGCCCAGTCTAAATTTGCACAGAATTTTAGAGTGGAAAAGGCAAGATTTTTGCTTTTTCTGGGGAATGGTTCATTTATATCCAAATGGCTCTGTCTGCCAGTACAAAAAACTGATGCAGTGGTATTTTTTTTCTCTTCTTAGGGGTGGTTCCTCCCGGATCGAAGAAGCATGTGATATCTATGCAAGAGCAGCCAATATGTTTAAAATGGCCAAGAACTGGAGTGGTATGTAGTATCCCTGATCCTTTGCTTATGTTAAAATCTGCTTGTATTCCACAGTATTGCACACCTGACCTGTTCAGGTATGCATTGCTTCATCTGTTTAAGGAACAATCCCCTCTCACGGAAATTGCAGTAACAGCGTGTTCCCTGCTCAGTAATGCAGTGCACCAGGTTTGTCCAGGGGAAGTACACAAGCTCTGGATGCAGCAGGTCCCACATTCGGTCTGCAGCATCTCCAGGTAGGGCAGGAAAAACTGCCTGCCTGCAACTCTGGAATGCTGCTGCAAGGCATTGTTGACGACACGGGACTTAGACGGATTCGTGGTCTGGCGCCTCTATTTAGGGCTGAGGGAGACCCCTTTTGGAAACGGAAGAGCTGTGGCTAGCCATATTGATAGTCCTGAGTTGGGTGGAGCCCTGGTTTGACATTGTATCGTGCAGCAACCCTGTAAAGGGAAGGACAGATCTGCTCTGCCTGTCTCTCATTCTACAGCTGTAGGTGTTGGAGAGGGAGATGGTGGTAATTAATGGGAGGTTGCTGCAGATCTATAATGAGAGCTCTGCAGGTGGGTGTGGAAGTCTCGTTGCTCAGCCTGTGAACAGTGGCATATCGAAGGTCTGCTCCAACCCCTTTTCTGCCACATTTCTAGAGAAAAGGAGGGAGCTACCGGGGGCTTTTCAGAGTGTGGCTTTAAAGTGTTAATAATTTCCTAGCCTTGCCTAACCCCACGCTGTTCTGCCTTCTATCTCTCCTAGCTGCTGGGAATGCTTTCTGCCAGGCTGCCCAGCTGCACCTCCAGCTGCAGAACAAGCACGATGCTGCCATGAGCTTTGTGGATGCAGGCAATGCCTTCAAGAAGGCTGATCCTCAAGGTAAGGAGAGCAGACTGGGCCATCAGGCGTCCTTACTGGAGTGGAGCTGGGATTTGCTGCCATGGCAGAATGAAGTCAGGAGGGTGTCCCGTGAGATGGGGGTCCTATCATACCTTCTGAGTATCCTGACACCTCGTAGCTTAGATGCAGAATGTGCCCTTTTGCCTCATTGGACAAATTGGACACATGCGAACATGCTTAAAAATTGAGAATTGGGGTCTCTGCTGTATCAGCTGTAGGCAGAGCCTTGGGCTGAATCAGTAATGTAGCTCTTTGCAGAGGAAACGCACACGCTGCATCTCTACAGTTGCTGATATTTATGCATGTATCCTTAGTGTGGCATTTTGGGGTGGAAGTGAAAGGCAGTGACCCAGTTTGCACAATCAAAGCAAGCCACCCTTGTTTCGTGTATTGGGTGCAGTTCTACATGATCGCCACCTGGCGCAGCTCATGGTATCATCCGATTCCAGGAAGAATGGGGGGGGGGAAACAACGTTAAAATAATGCTTCAGCTACTGTGGGATCATTTGAGAGTTGTTTCACCCTCCAACAAGTCCTGCCACATGGGACTGGATAACACAATAAGCTGTATCATGGCAGGATTATACAAATTGTGCCTAGCACATGCCCTTGCCCATTTAAGCCATGGCGACTTTTCATTGTGCAATTAGAAGCCTTGGCTGGAAGCCACTCATTCATTTGAATGAAATGAGAAGCTATGGAGATTTCCACATTTTGTTGAGATGCAGGCAGAGGGTTCCTGCCCACCTGGGTTTCTTAGGCTGAGATGGTGGTCCAGGCATACCCATTGATTGTACCGTGCTTAATCTTGGGCCACTTAACCACCAAATGCTGTTCCATAAACTCTGTCTCCAAAGTTGCCAGTCCCATAGACAGCTGAGGGCAAAAGCTGCAGTGCCAGCTGGCTTCCTCGCATTATACACCGAGAAGTCCTGCTTTAGCTGGAATTCTCAGACAGGTGCAGCACTGCATCAGAGCAAATTAACAGATCTCTAGCCTGGTCAGGCTTATGCAAACCTGACGGACATCGATGCGTTTTCCTGCATTTAATTTGCTTTACATTCAAGTTTCACCTCCTTTAGGGGCCGTGTCTGTCCACTTTTCTGTGCACAGGCACAGAGCCAGTCTGTGGTATGAAGCAGCAGGAGTAACTGAGCTCCGATGAGAGATGTCTTTCTCTCATCTCCACCCACTTGCAAATAGGATATGTATTCCAGGCAGGATAAAGTAATGGTGCTTTTTTCCTTCTCCCTTGGAAGCAGCTGTCGTGGAGGGGACCCTGCTCCTCATCTTGCTTGTTGCTTGGCTCTTGACACACCCTCCTCTGGAAGAAGGCACCCCTGCCAGAACGTTGTGTGTGGAGGAGGTGCCCCTGCCAGGACGCTGTGTGCCTGGCTGATGCTGCTCATTAACAGAAAAGCAGACAATGCGTGAGGAGAGGAGCTGGCCCCCTTGTGCAACTGCTGCAGCTCAGGCAGCAGCAGCTTTAGGGGGAGCGATAATAGAGGAACCTGAGGAGAAAACAAATTTAATCCTCCCCAGGGATTTGCTTAATCTTTTGGAGATTTTCATCCTGATCGTCAGCTGTGGTAGTGGAGCTGAAAGGCAAGCCTCACCCCCGTCATTGCACTGAGAGAGGCACTCAAGGGCATGCGGAGGCTCTGTGTGCGCATGTGTGCAGCATTGAAAGGGTCCCTTGTTAACATCTGAATCCTCTCCCTTTGGATCTTCTGCTTTGAGCAAGTGCTCACTTTCTCCAGGGACGAACATGCAGCAGAAGACGCTGCGTGGCCCTCCCTGTGTAATCTGTGGTGGTGAAAGGGGCTCTCTGCAAGTACCGCTGCAGAAGCGTAGAGTGACTTGTGCACGCTTACCTAACGTTCTTTGTACCCTGCCTTCCCAGCAAGGAATGGCATTCAGAGCAGCTTCCCTCACTAGCCAGATTTGGTGTGCGGCTGCTGCCTTGGCCATCAGAGTGCTTCAGGACTTGGTGCCAGGTCCCTGAAGGGCAGCCTGCCTCTCCTTACAGCGGCCTGGACCGTCACTGTTCTGCAGCCCTTCTGAGGTGCCAGCGCCAGGGGAGGTGTGGTGGGTGGCCGCTGGAGCAGGGCTCTGTCTGACGGTGCTGTGGCTGTGGAATGCTCTCTCCAGGGAGACTCACTTGACACCCAGCTTACTATCTGGACACTAGGCAAGGACACCCCCCCCCCTTTTTTTACAGCCCATTGATCTGTTCCAAGCCTGATTTGTTCTATCTTCCCACCCTTTTTTAAACTTGCATCTTTTACTGCCTCAGCTGTTCGTAGGTCACCCTGAATTCCATTGCCAGCTAGCATATAAATGCTGGATGTACATGCATACTAATTTGGATTGTGTTTGGGTTGCAGACCGGAGGAAAATGCGTAGGTTATAGTAATCATGTGCCAAGCGTTGAAAAGTCCATCCAGGCCCTTTCTGAGCTTTCTGCAATGACTTGCTCTGCTTAGAACCACTTTGTGCTGAACGCACGCGGGCCGAAGGTTCCCTTTAACAAAAGGCCGGAGTCCAGACTGTCTGATTCCATGAGCAAGCAGAGCATGTGCAATTCCGATTTAGATGCATGCAGCGCTGCAGTTCTTTAACTGTCCACACAAGGGAGCTTTGGAATCTATCCTCCTGATGCTGGGACACGGGCTGTATGTGTCACCTGAGTGCCTCAGAATCATCCCATCATTTCACCCGGAGGATGATGCCGAAGAAAACCCAGGCAGTGATGAAAATGTGCATCCAGCCGGCTTGGCGCTCTTCTCCGAGAACTGCAGGCCTCAGCAGCTTTTCCTTAAGTGGCTATTGATCTCCTGCAGGGAGGGAAGTGTGCTATAAATACACGCATGGCTTTGTCCCTTCCAGGGAGGTCAGAAGAATAGCACTGCCAGCTGGCTTTACGTCTTCATGTTGCTGTGTTTAATATTGCTCTCTCTCTCTCTCTCTCAGAGGCCATTAATTGTCTCCTCAGATCTATTGAGATCTATACGGACATGGTAAGCTTGCCTTGTATGTGTGCAATTTAAGAATCGGGTTTTTTAAAAGATGGATTACAAACCCAGGTGTGAGCAAAGTTTCCCACAAGTGATCACTTGCTGAACATGGCTATCATTGGCAAAAAGCCAGAATCTTAACTGGGCTGGTTCGCCTGTATCTGGAGGAGGCTGAACAGGACACAGCTTGTTCCCCTCCCTGGCACTGCAGCCACTTAGGGCTGGTGCTGCTGGGCAGGGTGGTGGCTCCTGAAAAGGAACATGGCTACTTACCCTCCCCTGCCTGGTGCTGTGGGACTTGCTTGGGAGCAGCTGCTCTCCATCGGGATTGGCAGCAGTGCTCGACTGTGGGGAAGACAAGCCACAGTGCTGCTTGGGCACTCGGTGGTGGCTGCCCCCTGTCCTTGTCCAGAGCAGCCAGCCTCTTTCGCCACTCCTGCCAAACAGCTCCTTGGCCACCCCGGGCTTGTTATGTTGTCTGCATTTGGATGCCATGGGGTGCTTTCTATACTCCATTACAAGCCAGGGTGTTGCAGGGTGGCTTGTCAACTTGGAAGCTGGGCTTATAAACTGACCCCTGTGGGAAACTTGCTGGGTTCATTTGGCACCGTAAGCCCTGTTGTATGAACCCAGCTTGTGTGTGTGTGTGTGCCTGCCTTAAGAGAAAGTTAAACTGCAATTAGTGTTTTGACATCCCCTCTGTGGGCGCTTCCAGCCAAGGCTTCTAATTGCACTGCTGCCCTGCCTTGTTTGTGGAATTTTACTGGGGTCTAGGTACTGCTGCCCTCACTCAAACCCACCTCGTGTTTACCCACCGCTGCTTCATTTTTTTTTAGTGCCGAAAATCCAAGATGGAATGGCTGCCAGATGCCTTTCAGTGGGTGGTGCCAGGAGCTCTCTGTCTGGAAGCACTGTGTGTGGGGGGGATGCGAATTTCCCTTGGGAGAAGCGGGCGTGCTTCACTGTCATGGTGGGGGTCTTGCTGTATCCGTGGGCTCGGCTCTGCTGAAAGGGGTCTCAAATGTCGGCAAGTAGTTCACCTCGCTTGTCCAGGGGTTTGCAGTAAACCCCTTGTGGGATTGCGGGGGAGGACACACATGCCGAAGCTGATTCTGCATTGTAGTACTTAATGGGCAGTTCTTAATGCGTCGAGTAGATTCCTTTGCCCAGTGAATCAAGGAGTGCTTTGCAGCCAGCAAGGCTAATCTCTACCCAGGGCAGCCTTAAACAGGTTAATTGCTGCACAGACCGTGACAAAGTCCACACCCAGGCGCACCATGCCTGCCTGTCCATGCCCAGAGCAGCTGTGCACTGCAGCGTGTCCAGGTGCATTTGGTAAAAGGAGGGCAAGAGGACAGCTGTGCTCTCCACATCTGGTGGTTGACACATGTCCAAACCCTGCACTTGGGCTGCTTCGGGATGGTCAGGGAGGCGCACGAAGACCCGGTTGTCCCTTGTCTCACATCATCTGCTTGTGCCTTTTGTCTTTTGTCAGGGTCGGTTCACCATCGCAGCCAAGCATCACATAACAATAGCGGAGATCTACGAGGCAGAGCTGGTGGACATCGAAAAGGTACGACGGGAGGAAGGGAGCGCTTGCCCTGTGTTCTGCCTTTCCCTTTGTCTTGGTCCACGCCTTTTATGTTTCCTCCCCGGTGAATGGGCATGTTGGAATCATGCTCCACGTGGAGTGTTTGCTTTAATCTTGCTGGTTTTTAACACACGCGTTTCAAAGAATGTAGAAGGTGGGGTTTGATGGGGAGAGAACTGGAGCTTGGTAGACTTCAGGACTAGATGCTGTCGTAAGCTTGATTTGGGGACCGTGCTTCGGCTTAGATCTTTTGAACGCCTTTTCTGTGCTGTGTATGGCAAGCTACAGATTAGCTGGGACAGATAACCACCAAACTTTGAGGAGGGCTGGAGAATGAATGCAGCAAGGGTTCCCCTGACCACTGGGGGCTGCATCACGTATGGTGGGCTACTTGCAGGAAGGCAATGAGAGTGTTTCTAAATCGTTACCATTGTCTATAAGCTGCTTTTTGGAGTACCAATTCATCCTAGACAGTGTGCAAGTTACAGCCGCTTAAAAAAACCTGTGGTAAATTATATCAACCAGTAACAAGTCGCTGGGAGTTTCCCCAGGGTGGCTGGGGGTCGCCGCCCCTGTGCAGGCTGCACAGTTCTGCTAAAGCAGGCCCTGCTGCTTGCTTAGCCTGCCTCCCTCTCTCGAAATGTGCGTGCCGTGTCAAAAAATGTCCCACAGCCTGGGGGGCATTATGGCCATTTTGCCCTGCTTGTGACCACACGTTTAGCCGACCACTGGAGACAGAACTGGGCTGTACACATCGTCGGCCTGAACACAAATCCATCTGTCTAGCGTGATCTCTTATTTTCCCTTTATTGCTGGCTTCTTTTCCAGGCGATAGCCCATTATGAACAAGCTGCAGATTATTACAAAGGTGAAGAGTCCAACAGGTAATTCGAGAACATATCCCTGCTCGTATCCCCATTCCTTTTCTCCCTCCCCACAAGGCCCACAGGATCATGTCTGTTTTATTGTCAGAGATGGTAGTTTTAAACTGATGCTGTATTTGCCGTTAGTCTGCCAGAAGCTGCACCTTCTAGTTGCATAATAACGCGACTTAAATATTCTTTCCATAAGCTTTGCTAAAGGCAAGCCACTGTTGAGGAACAAGTGGTAATGAAAGCTCAGGTAGCACGGATGGGGGCAAAAGCGTCGACTTGCATTATCCTTACATGCACTGCCCACTGAACTCCAGTAATCGGCTGGTTGAGGGGTGCAAGAAACAGCACTGCGGAAATCACAGTGGCCACAGAACCCTTAACGGGTCAAATGTAGCTTGTGAACTAGCCGAACTCTACGTTTGGGGCACTCCCACAAGGTCACGGGTGCCATCCCTGTGCTTTTTCTAGGGGGCAGCGGGGACTGCTTGCAGGCTACAAGTTGCATTTCCCTGGTTTAGACTTTAGTTTCTGGCTTTTGGGAGGAAATAGGAAGTGCCTTCAAGCCCAATCCCTAAGCCTGGTTCTCCAGTTTAAAAACCACCTCGCCTCCCACTGGGTGCAGAACCTCCGTTGCCTGGCAGTGTCTGGCAAAAAGGTGAAGAATTCTGTGCTCTCTGTAATCAATATGTATGTATGTAAGTTTCAGTAAACTTAGCTTGACAGTGGAAACCTGGTGAAGCACCAGAGTTGGGTACACCTTGGCAGAGTCCCTTCCTTTGAAGACGTCATTCTTGTTGGTGGGTTTTGGTCTCGCTCTCAAGCTGCTCACGGCACCATCAGGGGCTGCCTGTCCTGTGCCTGGGAAGGGCGTGTGAGGTAGGGGTTGCTGTTTCCCTGTCCAGGTCCCTCTAGCTCACCTTTCCCTCTCTGCAGCTCTGCTAACAAGTGTTTGCTGAAAGTGGCCACCTATGCGGCGCAGCTGGAGCAGTACCAGAAGGCTGTTGAGATCTACGAGCAGGTCTGGGTCCAACTGGTCTTTCTCCCATCCCAAATCTTGGTTGTACGGAGCAGATGCTGATGATCCATATGTCAGTGTTGATGTTAGAAAACCACATCTAAATTTCAACCTGCGAGAGACTGGATTTTGCTACCCCTGTGGATTCCAGGAGCTTTTACTATGAACAATAGTGGGCTTGCTAATATGGGGTAGTCAGTGAGCGACATACTAGAAATAGCATCCCTGCACTCCCCCTTCCCTGTTATGTGGGAGGAAACGGGCAGGCTACGCGCGCCCAAATCGTCATGTTGCCTCTCTCCTTGTGTTGGAAGAGAAGGATGTCGCTTGGGCCCCAAGCTGTGAGCAGAGCGCTCTTCTCAAGGGATCCAAGGGTCCGTCTCCAAGGCCTGAGTTCACATTTGTCCCTTCGCTTTTTGGCATCTCTAGGTGGGCACCAGTGCCATGGACAGTCCCCTACTGAAGTACAGCGCAAAGGAGTACTTTTTCAAGGCTGCGCTCTGCCACTTCTGCATTGATATGCTCAACGCCAAGGTTTGGGCAACAACTTTGTCTTCCTTCAGAGGTTACTCAACTGCTGTTGGGGAGGGACTTGGCACCCAAGCAGCCTTCCTCAGCATGGTGTCCTCCAGACGTTTTGGCTTCAGTTCCCATCTGCCCCAGCTAGCATGGCCAGTGGTCAGGAGTTGTAGCCCCGAACTTCTTGAGGGTGTCAGGTTGGGGACGGCTGCTCCTGAGAAAGAGTCTGCTTGAGGTTCTGGATGTCTTCAGGACTTCTGCAGATCAAAGGACGGGGTGAAAGCAGCTCTTTGGCTTCTCTGCATCTTGGCTCCTTGAACTTTGGTCTTGTGGGAGGCAATCATTTGCTAAGCTGGTTGGGTAGAGAATCGCGGTGTGGAAGACCTTAGGGTTTAACTTCTGGAGCAGGGCCGGAAAGCCATGTCGGAAAGCGGCAAGCCAAGGTTTTGGGCAAGGGACTGGGTGAATATGCGTGTGCGTCGTGGGTGGGTGGTGCAGAGGGCTTTGCAGCAGGAGGAGCACTGGGGTGGTGAGCTGCTTGCAGCCCAGGGGCCAAATTCCATTCCAGAGGAGCTCTTGGGAGCGACATCCTAAGGACTGGGACCAGAGCTTCGCTTTGAGCTCTCACTGCCAGTCACTAAGCTCAAGAGGCCTTTCAGCCTTTTAAAAGGGAGGGAAAGGGAACTGCACAGAAGCCGAGAAGCCTTGCAGTGATTGGTAATGGGGTGTGGGGTGGGGATGATGGGGGTCACAGGAATGGGACATGGCTATGGAGGACTCCAGGGGGGCTTGCTTTGTGCCTGATACAGGCAAAGGAACTACGCCTTCCCTAAAACTGGGGTAGCTGCTAGAGCTTTGACCGGTGGTTAATTGACTTAGGACCCAGTTCCTTTTATTTCTTTTCAACCAGTTGGCTGTACAGAAATATGAAGAAATGTTCCCAGCTTTCTCAGACTCCAGAGAGTGCAAACTGGTTAAAGTGAGTAGTTTTTATCTGGCCTTCCAAGTCCAGCTGATACACCCTTCAGCTTGTCTGTCTGCTCTTTGGCAGGGGGCATCGATTTAGTGCTTGAGATAGGATTTTGTCAGTTTTAAACTACACCAGGAAACATTGGATTAGATTCTGTAAATTTAATTACTGTATTTGCACAATTGTCTTCAGTTACCTTATATTACCAGCAGAGTGGCAGTGAGCCTGAAGTGAGAGTCTCAGTGAGCGATCAGCAAGAATGGAGGGGCAGGGCAGGGCAGGGTGAGTGTGCAAGGGGACAGACGTGTCAACGCTCTAAACAGATGGCTCGAATTAAACCTCGGCCAACAATTAGATGTGGTGTTACCCTGCTCAGAATGACTCTTCAGCCAGGATCCATGCCTGAAGCATCTTTCGGTGGAATCTTCTCCAGGTGGATAAAGGCACAGTTGAACAGTATCAGATGCTACCTGCTTCCTTACTGTCTCTGAGAACTGATCTAAAAATGTACTAATTTCCATTCTCTTTCCTAGAAATTGCTAGATGCTCACGAAGAACAGAACATTGACAGCTACACTGAATCAGTATGTTCCTGCTCTCCTACCTTTTCTGGAATGTCTAACACAGAATCGGGCAACTTCTAGGGTGTAGGGGCTGCATCCCACCTTGCTGCTGCTGCTAAATTTGCTCTTCTGAAATTGGGTGTATAACAGTCCCTGTGGGGGTTGCAGGTCACATGTTGTTCACCCTTGGTCTAGTGTGAGCACTGCAGGCTGGTGAGTCATCTCGTCTCTGTTAACCTACGGCCCAGCTGGCTGCGAAGCTTTCCGCTTGTACTGTCTGTTTGGCTCATACTCTCCAAGGGTGGCAATTTCCAGCTTCTCTGTGCTTTACCACAAGAAGGAAACCACCAGCCTCAGAGTTCATAGGGCAAGAAAAACAACTGGCAGTCAAGTACTAGCCACCCAGCACAGAGATGTTACTTTCAGGGTATCAGGCGCTAGGGGCACCTGTGCCAAAGAGATCCCCCTTTGATGCCAGGAAGAAAAGAGAAGAAAGCTTCTGCAGCAGCCTGCTAGCAGCTGCCTCTCAGAACTCTTCTCATATGAGCTCTCAGAAAACCAGGCACTCTCTTGTGTTTTACTTCTGTGATCTTCAAGCTAAACTTCTCATGTCAGAAGCGATCATTTACTCAAGGCAAAGTAGCAGCACATCTTTGCAAGACTGGTGGCTGCTAAATTTGAAATTCAGATCCGATTTTAAATGCATGCAGTGGAGTGAACCCTGTGACATTAAGGCATGTCAGCTTGGAGTCTCAGTTGCAGCACCTGAACTGCACAACAAACACTTCTCATGAAGTCTGGATGCTTCCCCCTTTAATCATTTTCCACACTTTTTATTCTGCTGGGCAGATACAGTTTTATTTGTGGTCTGGTTTGACTGCTTTGTATTTTGCTCGACTCTGGTGGGTTGCCCCAAATGATGCATGTACATTGGAAGGGCAGGGTGGAAATTCTCTCAAATAATACGTTTATGGTATCAGATAAGAGAATGCAAGCGGTTCCCTTTGTGACTGTTGGTAGCGCTGGCTGCAGTTTGGTGCATCTTTTTTTTCTCCTCTTGTCAGGTGAAGGAGTATGATTCCATCTCTCGCCTAGACCAGTGGCTCACCACCATGCTCCTGCGCATCAAGAAAACCATACAGGGTGAAGAAGAGGACCTGCGCTAAGCCACTGCCCTCCAGCCTTCTGCCCCCTTGTCTGCAGAACTCTGCATGGATCCGCATTGGGGGAGGAGAGGGGTCTTGGCACAAAGGAACTGGACTTGGATGACAAACAGCTTATTAATGCTCCCTTTCTCACCTCTCCTCTCCCTGCAACCAGCTCTTCGTACTGCAGGAAACAGGGCTGGGGAGTGTCACCTGTGGACTAGCTCCAACTGGAGAGAAATGAAGGCTGTACCACGAAGGTCTCCATTGTTTGTTGGCTGTCTTCCCCTTCCCAGTGCAGCTGCTTCCTGAGCTGGTGTTTCCATCCTTCTGATGGCTTAACATTTGTATGGCTTAATATTTAAAGCCTCTTAAGCGAATTCATCCGATGGCTCCAATTTCCTTTCTTCCTCCCAGAAAACTTGAAGCTCATCCTGGGGTGGAAGGTGGCCTCTTTCAGTTGAAGAGATGCCCAATCCCTCCTCCTATGACATCCCTCTGACCACACCTTTCCCCTTACCTCAGGCAGGGCTTGCAAGGCTGGGAGGCACCACCTTTTCCTTGAGCTTCTGTTGTATTAAATCTGTTGTGCAAAGAGCGGCGTTGCTTTCTCTTCTCACGACAAAAAATACAGCTGCTGGAGCTGGGTCTTGCATAGAGGCTGGCTCCTTCCCTTTCACGTACTGTCGGAGATCTGAATTCCCCAAAATTCTAGATATTCACCTGGTGTATCTGGTAACGCTGCTGCTTCTCCCGACGTAGGAAGGTCTCTCGTTGCACCCAAACTACCATCTTGAATGCATATAGGAAAACGTAATCCCAGTGGAATTCCCTTTTCCCTTGTCCTTAGAAGTCAACGCCACTCGCCCCATACAGTGTATGAGAGTCTGGGGTCATAATGTATATTTATTGCCATTCTCTAGGGGATGCAGGATGCTCCTCCTCCTGTTGCCAATATGGCAAGAGGCAGACGCATCCTGAACCATGCAGCAGATAGCCAAAAACTCCTTTAGTGCTAGTACGCTGTGTGCAGGCAGTCCTGTTCTTTGCCATCTTCGCTCGCGTGGTGGTTCTCCTTCAGGCATAATTTGAGGAGAGCCCTCCTTCTGCTAAGCGTTCTGTGTTCCATGCTCTTTGTCATGCAGCTGTGTATTCTGGGTTTTCTCTTGTGTTGGCTTTAGAAAAAAGCAAAACTTCTATCATGTAGTCTGGGACAAAGGGGTTGATACTTGACGGGGGATTCTTATGTTAACTTTTTATTCCAGTGGGCAAGGGGGGGTGGAATTAAGAAGTGCTGCTGCATGTTTTAAAATCTCCACCAGAAAGTGACTGATAATACTAAAATTACTTGCACAAACAATAAAGTTTGCATGGGTGGAAAAAAAGCTTATGGTAATAATGTCTAACAGTAGCACCTGTAGCTTAAGTTTCTGCTGCTTGTCTTAAGTTACTTGCATGTTTCTGGGTGTACTTCTTGATGTTTTCTTCTTTCCCAGTGTTTCAGGACTAATTCTGCCACCTTCCCAGCAACCCTTCTAAGTTGTGATTCTGTTTCTGAACACTGGCTGTGATTTTCTGTCTATAAAAACATAATTGTATGCTTGACTCTAGCTGCCTGTCTCTGTAATCTTCAGACCTGAAAAAAAAATGTGATGGAGCTGGGACATCACTTAGATGAGACTGGGTTTTCAGCTTCTCATCCTACGCTTTGGAGAGCCGCTTACAGGATTGAGGGCTGCGTGTTCTGTGCTTCCCAAAAGCAATAAAATCCAGCATCATGAAAAGCAGCTTTGTGTCACCTTTATAAATGATGCAAATTTGTATCAATGAATATGGCCATAGTTTGCATAATTTTGCTTCTTTTTGCACTGTGATGAATCACCATCTTATTAACAATCCCCCCCACCTCGCTCTGCAAATCTTGCTAGACTTTACATCAAAGCTTATCTTCACCAGCTTGTAAGGGGTAGTTTAGGAAAGAACAAAGCAACTTCTGAGCTCTGTGGCCCTTCCTTAATGCTACTGCTCTTTGTTTTTGTAGATGGAGGCTTTGCAAAATTTGATGCCCTGTAAGTGATAATTACCATCATTCCAAGCCAGCATGGCCTACAGTTGGGAAAGATGTTTAAAACATCTGCAGGCATCCTTGCCCAACAGTGGTGTTGGAATTCATCTCCCATCAGCCCCAGCCATCATGGCCAACTGTCAGGAATGCAGAAAGTTGTCTAAACTACTTGGAGGGGGTGCTAGGTTAAGGGAGTTTGTCCTGTGGCATGTTTCTTGTGCACAAGTAAAGGCAAAGCAACTGAGGATCTGTGGGGAACAAGAATAGCTTAGGATGCTGCCTAAATAATAATGAAATGATTGGATATCAGAATTACCAGTGTGGCATCGACCAACCAAAGACTGACCAATATTTCACTGGTAAGCAAATGTACACCTTTCAGTTCCCCAAACATGAGAACCAAATTAAGAGGGCAGTCTTAGAGGAGTTCTTTGTTCTGAGGCTGCTTTTCATTCATAACAGAGGAGATAAATACACGTATAAAGTCTAAGATCCAGAGCTGGCTGGGTTTCACAGGGCTTTCTCAGAGTTATACTCCCGGGCTGAAACTCGGCTAGTATTTAAGCTGCAAGGCCTGCTTTTAAAATCCAGTTCCCTTTGTAGCCTTACAAAAAAACCAAATGTCATTTAATTTGATAATGCCTTCTTGGCCTTTCATGATGGAACAAGAACATGGTCATGTCCATTGTAAAACAGGCAGGCCTGCAAGGCCTGCTTCTGGAACAGTGGCCCAGCCTGGGATGTCTTGCGCTGCTGCCTCGTCACCGCAGTAGCCATGTCAAGAGTGTGAGCGGTGGAAGGGAAGCAAAGGCTTGCGAAAACTCTTGTTGCGTCACGAGAGAAACGCGCCGAGGGCGACCGGCGCTCCCGAGACCCCGGCTCGGCCATTTTGGAAGCGGGCGCGGGCGGGGCGGGAGCGCCGCGGCGCGCCCGTGTCGTCACGCGCGCCGCGCGGAGCGGGAGGCCCTCCGGCCAATGGGGCTGTCCGTGCGCGGACGGGGAGGGCCGGGTCGCCCGCGGTGCGCCTGAGTCGAGATGGAGCCTTCCCGGGCTTGCCCGTTCGCCGAGGACAGCTTCACCCGCTTCTCCTCGCAGAGCAACGTTTACGGGCTGGCCGCGCTGCCCGGGGCGGCGCGGGGCGGCGGGCGCGGGCAGGAGGGCCCCTCGGGGGCGGCGCGGGGGCAAGAAGAGCTCGAGGGGGCGGGGCCGGGGCAGGAGGAGGTGCGGGGGCTCAGGCGAGAGGAGCCCGAGGGGGTCGGCGGCGGCGGCCCCGCTGCGGCGGGGGGCCAGCCCCCGGGGGCCTCCAGGGGGCTCCTTGGGACTGCCCAGTGGGGCCCGGAAGGCTCGGCGGGGACGGGGCTGGGGGGCTCCGCGCCCGCCGGCCAGGAGGGAGCGTCGCGGCTCGGCTGGCTGGGCAAGGACGGCCCCGGGGGGCTGCTGGCCGCCACCTTGAAGGGGAAGGTGATTTACTTCCGCTACCAAGACCTGCGCCAGAAACTGCGGCCCGTGGCCAGAGAGTTGCAGTTCACCTATATTCCAGGTAACGGTTAGGGTCGGACAGCTTGGGGCTGCCCTTACTTTGGGGAGCGGTGCTGGGACATCCCGTGGGCTAGCGCAAGCGGGCAGGGAGAGGCCCCTTGCCTTTACCTGCTTCCCCCATAAATATAGCTCCCAAATGCGTGTCACTGGACTCGTGTGTGCTGTAAGGGGCCTGCAAGAGGTGAGGCACCCCCCTTTTCCCGAGTTCACCAGCTGAACACGGACCCTTCTGGTTTGAGTTTTTCTTCTCAAATCTAGAGGTTTGCCAAACGTTAAAATTGTGTAGGGTAAAGGATGTTTCACATGCAGGCTGTACCTATGTTTTCAGCTGAGTCCAGCAGCACTTGCCCTTTGACAGGTGTTTCTGTGTTTCTCATGTTCCTAATGCGTCAGTCACATTAGAACCCGAGTCTTCCTGGCAAACTTTTCAAATATCTTTGGTGCCTCTGCCCTCATAAAGATCAAGGAATATGACTCTTAGCTGTTTGCAATGGGAGCAGCTGCTCTTTTTGTTCCCCTTGATTGCTCATCTGCTGTATTACGAGCTTTTAGCTCAACCGCTATTGCCTTTCTGTATTTCTTTCATTTTCAGTGGATGCCGAGATTGTTTCTATTGACACATTCAACAAGTCACCTCCCAAAAGAGGCCTGGTGGTGGGAATCACTTTTATTAAGGTACGCTTTTGTCATAAGCTTTCCAATTCATAATCAGCATGTTTGTTTCTCAAGCGCAATCATAGGACAATGACCTACTACACTGTTCTGAATATGAATGTGTTCTGGATTTTAAAACAACAGAAACCAAACAAAACAACAGCAAAAAAACATAGTGTGTATTTCTTTGAAAGCAAGGCTGGCTGAAACGAAGATGCTCACTTGGGCTAGGGCAGCCTTCCCCAACCTGCTGAGCCAGATCTTCCTCTGCTTTCGACATTTTTTTTTTTTTGCCGGGGGGACAGGAGACGGGACTACAAGACATAATATTTATCTTTCATGAATTTAATCTTGTTAATTTTGTTCACATACCCCAGTCATCTTTTGGATTTTGATTCTGTTGTTCTTGGTAATACCTTTCTTTCCCAGCTTGGTGCCATCTGCTGATTTGATAAGCATGCCCAACCAAGTCATTTACAAAAATGTTGATCACCACAGGGATTTGGTCCCTCCAGCACCTGCTGGGAACATCTTTCCAAGCTGAGACAGAGCTATTAATGAGCACTCATTGGTTTGGTTGCTCAACCATCTGTGGATCCATTTAACAGCAGATGTGTCCAATCCATATTTTACTGGCTTATGGACAAATATGTAACGACAACTCTTGCACAAGGTGTTTTTGAATTCTAGATGCACTGTCTCTGTGGTGTTCCTTTGACCAGCAGCACTTGTAACTCTATTTAAAAAAAAGGAAATAAGGTTGGGCCAACCTGACTTGTGCATGGACAACCATGCTGGCTTCTTGCTGTTAGTATATTATTTTTCAGAAGCTCACAGAATGTCAGCTCACCCTGTTCCAGAATTTTAACTGATACCGGCACTGGGCTAACTGGCCTGTGTTTGGAATCTGCCAGCTCTCATATTCTGAAGATGGGGGTAGGCGGGCAGCAATTGCCAGTCTCCAGGACCTCAGTTGTTCTTCAGAGTTCCCAGAGATTGTAGCCAGCGTCTTTGAAGGAAACCCAGCAAACCCATTAAGCGTCTTGGGGCATCCTTCCCCAACCTGGTGACCTCCAGATTTGTTGGGCTACAGGTCTCAGCATCCCCTAATACAGCACTGCAAGTTCGTGGATTCTGGGAACTGTGGTGTATGATGATGCACCCTTTGATGCAACTTATTTGGCCCCAGTTTGTTCACTTAAAATTATGCCCTTTTTTCCTTTGCTCATAAATCAAAACATAAGTATAGTTTATTAGTTTGATCTTAAACCATATTGGTATCAAATAGAAATGGCAAATAGTATTCGGGAACCATACTTATATTGGTACATCCTATGTAGGCAAGAATTATTGAACTGATAACATAGCTTGGCAGTGTCTGTACTGATGGCTGATAAAATAATCTACCAGACATACAGGAAAAATGTGTACCTTCTCTTTCTGAGGCAAATGAAATCACTTAGTCGTATTGTTGATGTTGCCCACAAACCTCACTGAGGCAGTTGAAACTGAGAAGAGGCATTCTCAGTCTGGAAAGTACTGGGCTGAAGCAGGCTGGACAAGATGGAACTCTGTTCTGGCTTCCCTGCAAAAGGAGCAGGCTATAACTGTAAGGAAAGAAATGCAATTAATCACTATTATCTGTCCTGTTTTTTCCAGTTAAATGGGTTATGACTTTAGACTGTAAGCCTGAAGGTGGTAACTCTTGTTTCCGAGGTTTGTACAACATCTGGCAGTCTGAGGTGTTTTATTATTAATGTCCATGGTGTTATAGTTTAAGACTGCAGAAGGCATCTGTGGAAGTCTTTAAAGGGTTGCAGTCCTTATGGCAGGAATTTTCATAAGATCGATGAAGTAGCACTTGTGCTTATGATGAAGCCTAATCCTGTAAAGGGGTTAATTTGTCTTCTGGAAGTGCAGATAGGCCAGCTGGCATCAATACTTCTTTTCATCTGCTTTTGAATATCTGCTTTGTCAGTGCAGGCTGGCTACTGATAAAATAAGCTTGTTAAAAGCTACACCGCTGCCAGAGTTTTTCTGTCTTATAGTGCCAGGAGGCTCCACTCAGCACAAGCCATCGTCTTGCTCATTGTTTCTGTTCGCATGCGCTGAAACGGAGCCTGTGACCCTGTAATGCAGCAACACCTATAAATCCCCTATATTCTGATTCACACCATGCCGCAGTGGCATGGCTGTAAAAGGCCGGCAGCAATCGGCTACACGCTTTAAGGGTGGGGAGATGAATGAGGAGCTCGGGGGGCCGCCTTCCTGGGCAGGGAGCCAAGACTGGGCCCGCCCAGAAGTGGCCAGGATTCTGGGCTGGCCCAGCCTTTGAGGCACCAGAGGGCCGTTTCCGTCTGGGCTCCCAGCGCATGGCACTAACTCCCTGTGAGATGAGCTTGATTTTTTTCCCTTTGCCGCTGCTGTTCGAAAGGCTTCCCTTCCAGCAGCCATAGACCTTCCTGCTCCCTGTGGGCGTGACATGAGAGTGACCGCTTGTCTTTCTAGCCCGGCCGGCAACAATTCTCAGGGGTCTGAGCTGTAGAGGGGCCTTCCCCACCACCTGCTTTCTTTCAGCTGAAATTACCGGGCCCGAGCCGGGGACTCCTTGGGTGCAGACCCAGTGCTCCCCTTCCCCAAGCAGTGGGAACGGTACCGGTACCTTGGTGACCCTCAGGGGTCCTGCAGGCTATGCAGAGCACTAGCCGGGCAGGCTTCCCCATCGGTCTGTATTCCTTGTGGGGTGCTGGACTAGCGCTGCTGCCTTTTGGGGTCATTTCCACCGGTGGGGCCTGCAGGGCAGATGCTCCTAGCGCTGCAAGGAATCTTGATTTTATCCAGTGATGATCCTGCCTCAGACTCCTGCCTGCTCTCTCCTCCTCTTTCCAACCAGTTGGCCACTGCCAATTATTGCCCCCTCCTGCTGTTGCTTAGCAACTCAGTGGGATGGATTTTTAAGACAGGAATCGGTGGCAGCCAGCGGCATGCCAAATCGTGTGTCTTCCACGCTGCTTTCGGCCGAGAGGCTGGCAGTGGGAAGCAGCATTATCTTACCCACTGCACCCCGTGCAGATTTCCCCTTGTTTTGTTAGCCTGTGGAAGCAGGTCTCGCAAGTAACAAGCGGCCCCTCTGTTACTGCGTGCAGCACAGTTGGTGCTGTGGGGTTTCCAGAATCTCTCTGCGTGGGAAAGCTTCGCAGCACCCTAGTCAGCTGGAATTTGGGCCTTTGGTTTATTGACTTGAGCAGTGAGGTCTTGCTCTGAGACAGTATGCATGTCGTCTCTGTTGGCCTTTCTTCTGTCCGAACGTGCGTGGGATTTACCTTTAGTGACTGTTAGAGAAGAATGGCTCCACCAGCCACAACGCTTACAAACACGTCCCATCTCTGACCGTTCGTTGGCCACACTGGCCGAGGCTGGTGGCCGTTGTGGCTCAGCGCATCTGGAAAGTCCTGGGTTGGGGCAGGGTGGGCATCCTAGCTGGCGTCTCCCTTATGTTTCCATTTCAGCCACAAACCCTTACGACATGTGCCACTTTCTGTCTGTTTTTCCTCCCTGCTTCCGTAGGATTCTGGAGACAAAGCCAGCCTGTTCCTTAACATTTACTGCGACTATGAGCCAGGCTCTGAATATAACCTGGATTCAATTGCACGTAAGTCTGCAGCACATTCTGTGCTGCCCAACCCCAGTTTCTCTAACCTCCCTTGTTGCCAGTTTCTGCACACTTGCATCTTGGAAGCACAATAGATCCAAACTCGTTATAAAATCTTTGTAAATGCAGCAGTCGTAGGGGAGAGCTTGATTTTTCTTGGTGCACAATATAGTTTTTCTCAGAGTGGAGTAACATCTGCGGAAATGGCATGGAGCTGGAATGGCTGTTCCAGTGAGCCGTTCTGCTTTTTGGAAGATTTGTGCACTGGAAGCCCTGCCTACAACGTACTTTTCAATGGATAATTTTCTGAAGCTGGTGCCACTCTGTAATCAAGTGGGCTAGAAACTTGCTGTCTTAAAAGCACATTTTATCTCTGTGTTCTGATTTGGGTAACAACTCACCCTTGTTAACTGTGACTTCCATTTAACTTGAGAGTCTTCCTGCATCTTGGATATTTCTTGTATGTATTGTATTTGTTTCCCACCCTTTTCCTACACCTTTTCCTCCACTTTATGCCCATACCAACCACTCTGAGAGGTCGGTTATGGTGAGAGTCACTGACTAGCCTGAGTCACCCAGTGAGCTTCATGGGCAAGTGATGCCTAGGGCTCAGATCTCTTGAGACCCAGTCCAGCACTCTAACCACTAGGCCACACTGACTTTTGACTTGGAATGTTTGAAGTCCAGCAGAGTTCTTCAAGCTCTGGCTAGGGCAATAAAGCCCATTTGCTTGTTGGTTCCTTAATAAGTCTTTCTCTTCTTCCTTCCTTCTTGTCTGTCTCTGTCTGTCTGTCTGTCTGTCTGTCTGTCTGTCTGTCTGTCTCTGTCTGTCTGTCTGTCTGTCTGTCTGTCTTTCTTTCTTTCTTTCTTTCTTTCTTTCTTTCTTTCTTTCTTTCTTTCCAGAGAGCTGCCTGAACCTGGAGTTGCAGTTTACCCCTTTCCAGCTTTATCATGCTGAGTACGTAAGCAACTTGCCCTTCCTTGTCTCTGTAAACGCCTGGTGACCCCGCAGCCCTTCCAGATTTACCCCCTTGGCCCACTGAAGTTGATGTTAGTAACCCAATGACTTAGGTTAGGGTGGGCAGGATTCAGGCTTTTAGGATCTGTTTTGTTTTTTAGTGGAACGCCAAGTTTTACCAGCCGAGGTCTCATGCAAAAGACGTAGAATTAAAGAGCTCTAGGAATCTTGCAAGCTGCCCTATACTGAGGCGAACCTTTGGTCCCTTTCCCTCAGTGTTGTCAACACTGACCGGCAGCACCGCGGCTTGCGGCTGGGACCACTTGCATGCCAAGCAGGCGTTCCGAGCCTCAGGGTTTGCCCTGGGCTCCCACACTGAACCAAGCTCACGGCCCTTCGGCACAAAAGCCTCCTCCTGGTTACCTGCCTCCATGCGCTTTCTGCATTTTGCTGGTATAATTTGGAGCGAGATGGAGGAGTAACAGGGTCGTTGCCATTGGTTAACAGTTGAGAGTCAGGAATCTTTGCTGAACTACTTCAAATTCCCTTGGAGATCTGCCAGAAGATCTCAATTTCCCTTGGTCTGTGTCCTGAGGTGCATATTCTTGGTGCTATGGTAATTTCCTTTTTAATAGGAAAAATGACCCCTAGTGAGGACATCTGAAGTCTTCATTAGAGATGGGCATTTGACAGAGGGGAAAACATTTTAGGCTGCAATCCTTCACACAATTACTTGGGAGTAAGCTCCATTAAACCGAGTGGGACTTCCTTCTGCCTAGCCGTGCATGAGATTGCTTTGTCAGTCAATCAACCGGACATGTAATACAGATCAAGTAATTTTGCAAAGCACTGGTTTCGTTACGGCACCAAAGAAAAGATCATCATCAGGTTTTTTGCTTGACACACCTGCAAAACAAATTAGCCACCAGTTTTTATGAAACAATGAAACTGACCTTTTCAAAACCGTGTAATAAAAGATCGCTTAAAAATAGCACTGATATTAAGTGTGGTTTCTGTAAATGCAAATGAATTCGCTGAACTGTTCACTTTGGCATTTATCCTAGAGCAGCAGGGTCAGGCTGCAGCCACAGAAGGTTTTAAAAACAAGTTAAAACAGAAATAAACGGCAGCTATTAGCATCCCACACCACTGCTTTTGAAGGCAGTTGGGCTCAGCTGGAGGCAGGCTTGTTCTCTGTGGGTAGTCAGTTTCATGGCCTGTTGGTCTGGCTTCGTGTGCCAGTGATACTTAACATCAGAAGGAGCCCCTTGGGAAGAGAGCGAAGGTCCGTCAGGCCCAGCATCCTGCTTCCCTCACCGGCCAGCCAGGTGCCTTCAAGAAGCCTGCGAGGACGGTGCAGAGGCGATTGGTCGGCCCTGTCCTTGCTCCTGGCACCCGATAACCTGCGGTTCTGTCTATCAGGGACAGGCAGGTGGTAGCTCTCCAGGTGTTTTGGCCTCAGAAGTCCGTGCCGACATGGCCAATGTTAAGAAAGCCGGGAGTTGGAATTCGGAAACGTCTGCTCATCTCTTGCCTTCTTCCCCTCCTTGTGGACTTCTCAGAGGCATCTGGTTAGCCACTGTGGGAAGCCAGGGTACTGGCTGCAGCCGGCCTTTGGTCTGACCCGAAGAGCCGCCTTTTAACATTTTTTGGTTAGTAGCTCTGCTTAAGCACATTTTTGTGCCTTCACTTAATACTCTCTTAGCACCGTCCACGGAGTGGCAATCGCCTGTGCTAATTATGCCCACGTTGCCCAAAAGGCCGGTGGGCGAGGCGTATTTTTTTCTGAGTTAAAACTGGAGGTGCATCGGGGAAGCTTGACTTTTGCAGCGCGTAAGAGGTAGGCTCCCTGCCCTGAGGAGGAGCCAGTCTTCTGCGTGAGTCACCAGATGAGACGCCGCTCCTCGGAGCACCGGCAGTGCCGTCTCCCTAGGCCTGGCGAACGACCTGAGCACAACCATTGCGGGAATGCAGAGGGAGGGTCGCTCCAGGAGCAGGCCTTGCCCCCACTTCCCACTCGAGGAAATAGCCGTCCAGGAAGCCTGTGCACTCTGCTGCGCCAAGCTGCCCGCCTCCCGCCCCACACGGTCAGCCAGCCTTTTCCCACAGGTGTCTCATCTCACCTTTCTCCCCGAGATTCGCCCCCTGAAATCAAACGCTCTCCTCTGCTCTGTCCATACATTGCTTTTCACAAATAGGGGCATCCCTAGGGAGGTGGGATCTTTCAGAAACGTGCCTGCGCACTTCAGAATCTGTGAATTCACACATGCAGGTGCATCTTTTCTTTTTTTTTTTTTTAATCTTGCCCTTTGGGCTTGGTCTCTGGATCTTTTTGGTACTTAGGACTAGCCTGGTGCCTAAACTGAACTTCCAAGAGCACAATCCTGTGCGAATGTGTGCAGCGGGAACTCCCAGCTCACTCCAGACAGCAAAACTGGGATCATTTTGGGGACAGGTCCTGAGGGAGAGATATTTGGTTATTTTGGTGCTGCTTCTCTCCTTGCAGAGTTCAGGTTGCTGGCCAGCCAGAGACAGTCTTCCTCCTGAGTGGTAACGACCCTGCTATCCACCTGTACAAAGAGGTAAGGACCCCCTGCAAGTGAAGCTTGCTTTCCTGGACTCCCATTCAAACACAAGAGAATCCCCATGGGATCATGCCAAAGGGCCACCTGATCCAGGTGCAGAGAAACCAGCTGGATGCCCCCAGGAAGTGATGGGAGTTGCAGTCCAGCAGGGTGGGGAAGGCTGGGCTAGGTGCTGACTGGAAAGTGGAAGCGCTTCCCGTTCTGAGTCTGCGTGGCGAGTGTGTGTCCGGCGCTCTGTTCTCCTTGCTGCTTCTGTCCGGTCAAGGTTTTCTGTCCACCCCAGCGGCTGTCAAGGCAGGGATCTGGTTCGTGGGGAGGACTGGAGGAAGCCCCAGGTGTGATGCCAGCGACCTGTTTCCTTCCAGAATGAGGCGCTGCACCAGTTTGAGGAGCAACCGGTGGAGAACCTCTTTCCTGAACTCAAGGAGCTGCCAAGCAAGTAGGCGGGCAAATGCATCCCATCTCCGTAAGGCCAGCGGCGTGGGGAGCAGGGGTGGGAGAGGGAGGGTGGGTGGGTGTTCGGGGGACCGCGTGTACCCCAGAGTGTCTTTGGGGGCTTAGCAGGAGCTCTGAGGTGGAGGCCCCTCTCCTCTCGCCCTGAGGCACCCTGGACATACACCCTGAGGATCAGCATTACGTGCTGCCCTCCTCTACGCCGTCGGTCCTGCTTCTTCGTGACTCTATTGACTGGCCGTAATTTTATGCTGCCGCTCAGCCAGAAAGAGTCCCTGGTGGCTTGCATGCAATCTATGAAACGAGGCATTCCCTATCCACAGACTGACTGTAGAAAACAGCACAGCACACAAGGAAAAAGCAAGGGGAGGGAAGAGGAACACTGATGTCTCCTCCTCTGCAGTGTGCTGTGGCTGGATGTCTATAACATCCCAAGCTCGGGGCAACGCATCACCGCTTTTGGCTGCCAGAGTGGCTACATCCAAGTCGCCCACGTTGAACCGGCCCGCCGAGGTCAGTTTCGGAAGCGCAGTGGAGCTGGCTTGGGACCGAGCCTTGGGGTTCAGCAGAGATCCGAGAGGGCTGGAGAGCAGGGCCCCGTCTCACGGCTCCGGTTGACCCTGTCCCTCTCTCCCCTCTGCGCTAGTGGTCCTGCGCAGCTGGAGCATCCAGCAGGATGGGCCCATCTCCAAAGTCCTGGTGTTTGCCCTGCCGACCGCCAGCCCCGCCGGGGAGCCCTCCGGAAGCGCAGCCTTGAGCGGTAGGTAAAGCTGGAGGACCAGAGGGGCTGCGGGCCCTTTGCAGCCGCGGGAGCAGGGAGCAGGGTGAGGAGGCTGCTTTCCCTCAAGGGTCGGGCACTTGTGTGGGGGACAAGTGCCCGGCTCCCCTTGAGGGCGCCTCTGGCGCTCTGCCTGAGCTCCCGTCCTCTCCTCCCAGGCAGCCTTGGCAGCCGTGCCCAGAGCTACAGCGTCCTCGTCACCAGCACCATCGAGCTCTCCGTCGTCTACAGGTGAGTGCAGGAGGTCGATCGAGAAGCCCCTGCTTGGCTTAGCATGGCAGCGCCTCTCCTCTCCTCTCCTCTCCTCTCCTCCGGCAGGAACGTGCTGCAGAAGGGCCTCGAGGACCAGCTGGTCCTACCCCAGAGTGACCAGTATGACAGCGTGATCTGCGCCCTTGTGACCGATGTCAACTTCGACCGTGAGCCGGAGATCCTGCTCGGCACGTACGGGCAGGTAGGTGGTGTGGCTTTCGCCCGGACCCAGTCGGCCCAGTTGCAGCCTAGGCTCACGGATTCCCCAGTGAAGTTCTCCCTAGCGCCTTTCACAGAACGCGCTCCTAAAATATTCTTGGTGAGTGTTTTTCACAGCTCTAACTCATGGCTTGGGTTTTTGGACCTAGGACAGCGGCAGCCGGATAGCTAGACTGTTTACTCAGGTAAAAGTCTTCCCAAGACTCAGAGGCTGAAACTTCCATTTAAAGCAGCGATGCAGAGCCTGAGCACCTGGGGCCAAATCCAGCCCCACTGGCGCCACATTCAAGCTCTCGGGGGTTCCCGTCCCTCCTCACCCATCGTGCGGCTTCCCAGCTTTTGCAGAGGTTTCTCCCCCCATTCTGAGTGTGGCTCTCTTAAGGCTGCATCACTACAAAGAAGAGCTTTAAACTCAAGCCGGCAGGCTTCCCCCACCCCCTGTCTTTGCCCGCCACTGCAGTTCGACCCCTTGTGAGCTTCTCCAAGATTCCTTCTGGCCTCAGGACTCCTGAATAAAATAAACTCGGGAGTCAGGATGGGCTCATCCTTTGGTCCTTCTGTCCGTTTGAAAGCAGTATCATCCCTGCTGCCTGCTCTTGCGTGCAGCTGAGAGGCGCCCAGCCTTCAAGCTTTTGCATGGTGCCGCTGGGGCTGGCTTCTCTTATTCCAGGCTGCAGGCAGGTGAGTCATGCGTCTGAGTGTACAGGAAAAGGCTTGGAAATACCAATGTCCTAAACAGAACTGAGCTGATACAAAATGCATACCTGGCAATGGAGGAGGGCAACTGCCTAAATGGAAAGAGCAGCATTACTCACTGGTGCTGTGGCGAACGTACGATGCTTGTCAGCTGCCCAATGGCCCTGGGCAGCGAGTTCCACAACCAGGGAGATGCTGTCCCGAAGACCTTGCTGTGTGTGCAGCAGAAACAGCCCTGCTTCACTGTAACCAGGATCGTCCAGTCACCCCATTTTGAAAACTCAGGAGTCTGGTTTGCGAAAACCATGGCTAGCCTGGAGGCGTGTAACCCTGGTTAAACTGAACAACGGAAACTCGAAGAGAGCCTGTCTGGGAGAGGAGAGAGCAGCCAGGCCTGCTGGATGCTCTCAAACTCTTTATATACAGTTTATTTCTTTTCATTTCTGTATCACCCAGTAGCCAAAAGACCTTCCCTTAATGTTGTTCAGTGTTCCATGTACTTTGCAGAAACTGCCAACAGTTCTGCCTCTGTGTATGCATTTTTCCTTCTCTATCCATGAGGGACAGAAACTTGCTGTTCGAGAGAGCAGAGGTGCCTGGGATTCTGCATTAGCAGGCTATGCAGACTTTTCTGGGTGGTCTGTTGATGACAGCCCTACTCTTAACATAACGGTGCTTCTGTGGTCTTTTAGGAGCTCTTGTGCTACAAATACCGGGCCTTGAACTCTCAAGCTGCAGGCGCTGCAGGACTCAGCCAGACCGATGGGGAATTTTGCCTGCTCTGGCAGCGCACGTTCCCCAGCCCCCTGCTTTCCCTGGAGTATGTCGACCTGACCTGCGATGGGCTGTGTGAACTGGCCGTGGTGTGCCTGAAGGGGCTGCATATTCTCCAGGTGTGTGCGGGGTGGCAAGAGGGGCTGCTTCCAGGGGAAAAGCATGGGGCGATACCAACCCTTCCTGAAGGCATCGGCAATTCCGTTTCATGGATTCAGGTTGAATTAAACACACACACATTCCGGAACGCTTGTGTCCATTGGCCAGATTGCTTTAGGCATGTGTATTTCTTCCTGTACCAACTGGGTACAATAGAGACTACTCAGGTTTCCCTTGTTTCTCTGAAAGTAAGAGGGCTTGATTCTTGTAGTTTATAAAAGCTGAATCTTCAGGAAGGAGGTCTAGAATATCTCAGACAACCCAGTTCCCCGCCCAGCCTCCACGTGGCCCCTGTCCAGGCAGAAGAAACAGTATTGGGTATCACCTACGAAATTAAAGGGAGGTTATCCAGAACAACTTCTAATCATTTTTAATTCTGTCACCACAACAAGCTGGCAAAAAGCCCAGATCCTCAGGTACAGATGATCTGCTTGGTGCTGCCAAGCTTTGCTTCTGACACACTTCATTTCTGCTCCCAGTTTCTACTGAAACTTCCCTCCAGCAAAGCCCGGAGCTTCCCCAAGCATCAAATGGGGCTTGAATGCTGAGCAGGGATGGATGGCTCCAGGCGTGTGCTGCTCCGTCCTGGGGACCCTCTTGCACCGGGGAGAGCGCTGCACTTCCTGCCCTGGCAAAAGCAGGGCTTTCTCACCCTCGCCCTGCATCCTGTATTCCAGCTTTTCCATCAGAAAGAAATGGCTCCCTCCATTCTTTCTCATCTGTCCCGCATTTTCACAGGACATCTCTGCCCATGCAGCCAAAGGTGGCAGCGGCAGTGGTGGTGGTTGCTGTTGTTTTGGAAACACAGACTTCTAGCTGAATAGACAAGCTGCAGAAGGGAAATAGACAGGAAAGGGAGCTAAGCAAAAGGGGGGGAAAGGATACTGTGATAGCTTGCGGGGACCAGTTTGCCTAGCTTGGGCACAGGAACTCTCCTGTCTGCTCAGTCCTCCTCCTGCAGGTGCCACAGCCATCCCGGGGGCAGTGGGAGTGGCGTGAGATGGGACTTTCCCAGTGGCGGCAGTGGGACCCGTCCTGAGAGTGGTCGTGGCTTGTCCTAGAATGAATTTTGGAAGGTTTTGGGGGAGTGGCAGATAAACTAATGGTCCATTCTCTAGACCAGTTGAGAACTGTTGCTGGAAAGTGAGATGGTTCTCCTTCTAGGCATGCATGTCTGTATCTAACACTCCCTCGTGGATCCTGGCAGAGCACAAATACTCCAGGATTAAACTCTGCTCTCTTGCTGCCCTCTTCTTCCTCGCTCCCATAGCACAGTCTGACTCAGGCAGCTCAATGCCTCTTGGAGCGGCTCCGGCTGAAGGCGGCACACCAGAGGAGCCTCTCTGCGCAGCTGCGTGAGTCCAAGGCAGAGGACGCTGATGGGAAGGGATCCAGGGAATGATGAGTTTGGGTACCCAGAAGGGATGACCCACGAATTTGGCTGGGCCTCCTCGCTCGCTTGCTCGCTTTGCCCAGAAGAAGCAAGGGGTACAGTTCCAGGGGATCCTTTTTCAGCCCTGCTGTGGCGTCGCCAAGGGACCAGTGTGGGAGTAAGAAGAGGGGCGCCCCCCATGTCCTCAAGGGGCCGCCTTTGGGGGCGCTCTCGGTGTAATGGCAGTCGCTCAGGAAGTGGCGGCTTCCCCCGGACACAGCAAACAAGATTTGGCTGGGATGCTGCTTGCAAACACTTGCCGTTTCCTTTCATTAGCTCCCAAGGGGCTGCTCTGAACTTGGCCTGAACAAGGACTCTGTACATGAAGAATAAACTTTGCCTGATGAGCACTTTCTGCTCTTTGTGTCTGCGTGATGGATAGAAGTCTGGGACACGAGGCAGACGACGGCTCCTGAATGGTTTAAAAAGTCCCCGTTTGCTTTTCCAGCCGCAGGCAGCTTGATCAGCGATTGCAGCACGGTGCAAAAACAGATTCCATAAAACGAGCCTCCGTCAGGCAGCCAGAACCTTGTGTGAAGGGACTCCGGTTGAAGCTCTGTGCAAGTTCAGAGAGAGAGAAGACCTGCTGCTCCCAGAGCGGGGCCTTTCTTCTCTAAGCTCGCATAGGATCAGGGACTAAGACTCATCCAGGTACTGAACAGAAGAGCATTGAAGGGGCCTTGGCCTCACTTCCACCTGAAGCAGGTTTGCTCCGGCGAGTCTCCTCCCTGACCTCTCTCTGCGTCCCTTTATCCTCTTGTCCACTCCTCTTCCCTACTCAGTTGATGTGGCCAAGTAGAACCCAGAAGCAGGGGGGAGTCTAAGGACCGTAGGGAAGTCCAGTCCAGGGTTTTGCTTGGAATTCTTTTGCTAGCCTTGCCTGGAGATGTAGGGGATGAGAGTGCCTTGGCACACAAGCCACGCAGGGGCTTTGTTGGGGAACTGCAGTCCTTCCATCCGTGGGAAGCTGTCTTCTCCAGAGTGGGGTTCGTGGCCGTTGGGGGCCAGCAACTCTGGCCAGCCTTCACTGACCTACTGCAGAGCCAGAACTAACAGGAGAGGCTTCCGTTGCCTTGGCCCGTCCCCCCACCCTGCTGTCCCTGCGAAGACCGTTGACCCGGGTAGTCAGCTGGTGTTTGCAAAGGGGAAAGACCCCAGCGGTGCGCTCTGCCTCTCCCCAGATCTGGGTCTTGTCGTCTTAGGCAGGCGCGTCCCTGCATGCAGCAAAGGCTGGTGGCGTATCTGTTCCGAGGCTGGATTCCCGCTGGCGAATGAGAACAGATGGCCCAGAGAAGAGGGCACGGATTAAACCCGAACTGTAACAGTTCGGAGGCGTTTGTGGCATCTTCGCTCGGAAGGCGGTTCCTGTGGGCGTCTTCTGGCGAGCCTGACGAAGGGTGCAAAGGGGATCTTGTTTCATTTCTACCTGCAGATCTGGGGTTGAGGAGGCCAACAGGTTCCTCTCTGGGATTCTTCCCCCGGAGGGCATCCTGGCCAGGGGGCAGGGTTTGGGCAGGGGAGGATTGGTGCTTGGGGCCAGGGCCGGAGGAAGAGGCCGGAAAGTGCAGCAGCCCCGGGAAGCAGGGACTCCGGCGTCTCTCCTGTCGCTCTCAGCCATACAAAGAGTTCACACTTTGAATAAAAAGTCCAACTCTCAGCAGGGAATTGTCGGACTTCCTTCTGCTTCACATGCACCAGACTCTGTATCTGAAATGTACTTAGCAGCCTTTTCTTTGATCAAAGGCTGGGATGGAGCAGTTCAGTTCCCCAAAAGACAAGGCAGAGAGCGATTTTCCCTTCCTGTTCCCAAACAGATTCATTTCCCATCTCTGCTAACTAACATCTTTATGACTCCTTCCAAGGTCTGCTTCTGAATGAGGGGTACGTGCTTAAAAATAATCTGACATTTAAACTGTGTTCTCTCTCTTTTGGGTGTCTCCCATGTCTCAGAGCCGGCATTTTTTATTTGAAAAATCAAAGGAATCTGATATTACTCATCCTCCAAGCTGAGGTGGGCTCAGGAAAGGAATTGGAAGCAAAACCATCCTCCTCCAAAGAGGAATAAATGTGTCTTCCCAGATACTCGGCTGGGTTCTCTCCAGCAAGGAAGGAGAACCCCTTTAAGACACAAGTGAGAACTCAATCTGTCAGCATGGTCAATAGGTGGGGACGATAGGAGTTGTAGTTCTAACGTCTGGAGGGCTGCAGTTTCTCCAGACCTGCTCTAAGGAATTCCGTGGAAGAGATTCATCTCGGCAGTCGAAGTGAAAAGGGTCCAGAGTGCCCGAGAGGACAAAGACCCGCTCCAGCTGCGTGTCAGAGCAAGCAATGCTCGACCTGGTGGGCTGGTTTGATACCAGTGCACAGCTGGAATGTGGCTGAAAAGAGGCCAGCGGGATCCCTAAATAATAAAAACTGGGATTGTTTTTAAACCTGGCTTTGTTTAACTAATGGTGAAACGAAACCTGAAAGTATCTTGGCACCACTGACTGACATCTCAGAACCCACAGGGGATGGTTAAATAAGACTTTTCTGTGATGGTTGGACGGGGAGGGGCAGGTTTGGGGCCTGTGTGATTGCTTGCCTCTCCCCTGACTAGCAAAATGAGAATAATTATGCACAAGAATACATCATGCAAGGAAGTGATTCTGCAAACCTCTATTTGCATAATTCCGGCGGTCACAGAAACCTGCTTTTCATGGCACAGAATTCAAGGAATTTGGATAATAAATTATCATGATGTTAAGCACAGAGGGTTGAACCCAGATGGTCCTGTTTAGTCATGGCTTTCATTAGGTTTGCTCTAGCTTAAGTTTCATTTATTTCACTGGCTCTGCTGCAGATAGGATTTGCCCAGGATCCAGATCAGAATATGTACAGCCCTGATTTCAAGAGCAAGTAAAAAATCCCATATAAAATGCAAACATCCATATAAAAAGATAAACAGAAAAGGGGGCAGCAGATAAGCAACAGCATCAGCTTGTGTAGAAGTTATTTACCCAGTAAAATCAAGAGTAAAAGGTGCTTATTCTCTGCTGGCACAGAACAAGAGGGAACAGCAACTGAGCAACGAATTCCCTAATTTTTATCCAACTGCCAGTGAGGCCTTCTCTCTCGCCCACATCAATTGAAAAAGGTATGGAATCCTCTCCAGCCCAAACCGAGAAAAAGCTAATCTTTCAGAACCTCTTTTAGTTGTTTTTAAGGTATACATTCAGCAGCTACCTCCTGCAAAGTTCGCGGTGGATTCTGGTTCCTGAGAAGACCCAACGGAAATAAGTACAGGTCTTCATAAAATACCACCCTTCTGCTTTTCCAAAAACCTCACTTCTCTTCCTCTCTGTAGAGGCAGAAGCAACTTGGGGCCCATGCGACTCTACAAACTGTCATTTCAGATTCTAGCAAAAGGAATTTCTTTTCCCCCAAGCCTTTGTTGCCAGAGGTGGTGGCGGGTGTGAGGGGGGGGGAGAGAAAAAGAGAAGGGATGGGATTCCCGACTCGCTTTTGGCTCTGCATAGTGATGGCCTTGACCTGCCCACTGCTGCTCTGTGGCCACTGACAAATTACCTGCATGGGACTGTAGCGACCAACAAAAACCATTCCCCATCCTGGTCATGAAATGATCCAGAAACTGGAAACTGAGCAGCCTGTCAAAGTCATCAGTATCCTCTGGACAGGCCCTACTATTCAGAAATGGGACTTGAGCAAGGTCTCGCTAGGCTAGTTTTATTTACTATCACCCCCATTTTACAGCTGCAAAAACTGAGGTTGGAAAAAAGCAGCATCTGTCGGGGGGGGGGGGCAAGCGCCCGAGGCTACCCAGGGACCTGAGCCCTGTGGGGGCTGGAAGTCGGAGCTTCCAGGCGGAGAGCTAACTGCCCGCAGCGGCTCAACTTCCACCTGTTACGGACGCTCTCCGAAGGCCTCCGCCGCCCCCGCGTGTGCAAGGGAGCCCGGCGAAGTGCCCGCGTGAGCAAATGCACGCGCAGCCCCCGCCCCGCCGGCCGCGCCGGCCGCTGTCCGCGCCTCCGCGGTGCTGAAGGGGCTCCCGCGTCGCCCTCCCTCTCCCCGGGCTCGCGGGCGGGCAGCCTGCGCGGGGAGGGGCCGTCCGGCGGCGGGCGTGCGTGGAGGACCAGGAACCTGGACGACGTGATCCTGGCAGAACAGCGGAGTTGGCCTCCTGCGTGATGCTGCGCCCGTGCCTATATGTAATTACATCCGCGCCTTGCTAAGGCTGGGCTGTGCGTAAAGAAGGCGGCTCTCCTTCCCGCGGGATCCAGCCGCTTCCTCCTCCCGTGGCGGCAGGGTCGGCATCCAGCGCCCCGCTGCCTCCCCGTCCTTTTCTGTGGGTCCAGAGAGTGCGTCTCTTTCTGCCCCAGCCTCCTTTTCCCTCCCTGCACCCCACCAGCGCCGCCCCTCCTCTTCGCTCCTCTCCTCTCCTCTCCTCCTCTCACCAGAGGCGGTCTCTCGCTGGCTGCGAGGACGGCACTCTTGGCCGGCTGGTGGGGGCGCTTCCCTTCCAGACGCAGCCAGTATCCAGGGGCTGCTGCTGGTGGTCCTTCCCCGAGACCCCCACCCCAGCTGCCGGGCATCCTTCTGGACTGATCTTCTGTGCTCCGTTCACAGCCAGCCCGAACCCTCCCGGAGAGCGACAGCGGGGCATGGCGAGCGAGTGACCGGCCGGGGCTTCGCCACGCTGGTGGGCGCTGGGTCTCGCAAAGGGGTGCAGGGTAAGGTAAGTGCCGCGGGTGGGGAAGCACATCTGCCCGTTCCCGGTTTCCCTTTTCTGTTCCGGCTTGGATGGATCTGAAGCTGGGGAAGGGATGGGGGAGGAATCTGGCCACGGATGAGCCAACATACATCCGGATCAGAACCGGCTCGTGCTCAGAGTAGCCCTCCCCTGCCCTCACTTCCCGAAGTGCCCCCCACGACACCCCACAATCTTGGCCGCCTGCCTTGCCCTCCCCGCACCCCACCAGCTCCTCAGTCCGACCACTTCAGCCTCCTCTTCCCAGTTTGCTCCACAACTGGTGTCAGTCTGGAATCACTCCAGCCCAGCCGGCTGGCACCACCGAGGGTCGGGCCTCTATGCCTCCCCGGGGCCTTTCCTGCCCTTTCCCCACAACTGTGGTCCCGCCCGCGTTGACTCCCAGGGGTGGGGGAGGCATCGACCCCTCCAAAGGAATGTTGTCCTTTGAGCTGTGCAAACCTGCAGGGCTTTGCAAAGAGTGTGAGGAAGAGTTCCTGCCCTGCTATCTTAAAAACATCATCATCATCAACAACAACAACAACAGAACGCGGTATCCCACACTTGGCTCACGTTTTCTGTCCGCCACCCCACATGTCACAGAGCTCTAGCTAGGACAGTCGCTGCAGCCATCGCCTCTCCTTCCAGTTTCGAAGGATCTCAAAAGATCATTTCCCCTCCCCTCACTTTCCATTCAAAGGCATCTTTTACCTTCTCATCCACCTCTTTGGTGTTTTTAAAAAGGATTTAATGCTTACCATAGGCGAAATTTCAGGCTGTCAGTCATTTGCTATCTGGCTGATCAGTGCGTTTTCTCAGGTTCTCAGACTGGGTGTGTAATTTGGGGTCCCGGGGACAAGGCTGTGTTCTGTGAACAGCCCAGGGTGGGCTTTGCAAGGAAAGTTCCATTTCTGATTGCCTGAAAGCACAGCACAGGGTCGGAGACCCTGCAGACAAGCCCCTTTCTCCAGCTCAAATCTTCCTTGAGCTATTAGTGTGTCACTTCGTGATTGTGCTGGTGTCCACACGCTCCAGCTTCAAACGTGGGAGAAGAGGTTTTATTCCACAGATATATGAAAGCGTGCCTCCTGAGCTCCTAATTTGGGGAAATGGTTACACATTGTGCAGAACCAAAATCCATGCTAAAGATAAATCTGAAAGTTCTTTGATTTCTCAAAGTTAGGGGGGATTGTCCTTCTTGGTTTCTTATGCCTCTCATGCTAAATTAATAATAAACAAAGGAAGGTGGCAGTGTTACTTGTACCTTTAAGCGGCCACAGGTCTCCGGCTCCTCGGCGCTCCCCTGAGCATCCTCGGGGGTGGGGGCACCGCATCTTTGCATCTGCTGTTTTCAGAATTTGCCTCCAGCCCTCTTAAGCGTCCCCGCTTGGATGCTGCCTGATGGAGGAACAGTCTGAGTGGAACTGCAACGGGTATCTCTTGGGAAGGGTTGTGTCCCTTTGTGGTGCTCCTTTGAGAGTAGAAAATAAAGGTATCTTTTTTTTTTTAAATCCAGTGGGAGCTTCTCTTGCATCAACCTCCCCCCCCCCCCCGCCATCCATTCTGCCTACTTCTTGTGATTTATCTTGTACGACAAACTATTAAATAAGAGGAAAAAAATTGAAGCCCACTGGAAGCGTTGTTATTTGGAGCTTGGAAGGTGGACTAGAAATGCATCATCATCATCATCATCATCCAGCCACAGTTTCAGTTGCAGGATCCAGGCTTTAGGGGCTCTTCCACATATCCCATGTGGGAGTGGGGGGCCCATGCATCGAGGGGTCTTTCCAGCTGCCTCCCGCCTTCCCGAGCTCCTCAGACAACGTGGGTGTTGCTGCCTCCACGCGGGAGGTGCACCTGGGGCAGCGATCCTGGCCCCGTTTCCAGAGCCTCATCAAATGCCCACCCACCTG